TAAATCTGGGGTTTCGGCATCAACCCTGACCTCTCAACCTCGGGATCTAGCAACCTCCTGATCTGATCTTTGTTGACGCGACGTGTTCGACAAGGATGGAAAACCCTCAGTTTGTCCGCTTCGCCAAAAAGTCGGCCTCGAGGAAGAGGGCCACCAAGGCTTGCCTCAAGTGCCGCAGGAGAAAGGTCCGCTGCGACGTCACCCGCACTTCGGCTCCTTGCACCAATTGTCGGTTGGATGGGGATGAGTGCGTTGTTGCTCGTCGAGGGGTCTCGATGTAGGTGTCCTCTGTTGGTTTGTCGATCTACGCGTGGACTAACAACTTGCAGACAGATACGATATAATGAACCATCACCGTTTACTCCAGACGCTGCTGCCGACGATGTCGATCCGACCCATCCGACTGCGAGACCAGACTTGACGCTGTCACCGCCTCCAGAAGCCGATCTCGGCAGCGAAACCACGTACGCGAATGATACATGCAACAATAGCGAGAATATTCAGACATTCAACATGACCTGCGATATTGCTAAAACGAATACATCAAATAATATCCCACTGGATCCCGTGCGATCCGAGCTGAAGGCCCTATACTCGTCGATGCCGTTCCTCAAGGCGCTCAGCATACGCGACCGCGACTTCAACCATCTGAATTCTCAAGGATGCCTACGCGTTCCAGCCAAGCCGATTCTCGACCAGTTTGTTCGACATTATTTCCTCTACGTTCATCCACTGCTCCCTCTCCTTAATGAGGCGGACTTTTGGCGGGCGTACAATCCCGCCCAGACAGAGACCTACTCAAGCTCAGACGGCTCTCCCGTCTCGCTACTCCTATTACAGGCCATCATGTTTGCCTCGTGCACAGTAAGTGACCTTTACTTGGTGCATAAGACGAACCGTGACTAAATATCCCAAGCTTGTACCGAAAGAGAGTCTCAAAGTCTTGGGCTTCTCTAGCATCCACGAAGCCAAGGAATCTTTCTACACAAAAGCAAAGGTAGAAGACACTCTCCCTTGTGGATACCAGCTCTGACTCTCTTGCCAGCTGCTCTATGACTTTGCTACCGACCCAGATCCCATCTCGATAGCACAGGCTGCGTTGTTACTGACCTACTGGTGTCCGACCTTCCGCCCAGGACCGCGAAAGCCAAATAGCAGATGGCTCAGGATTGCTGTGCAAAATGCCAGAGCCGTGGGGGCTCACAACTACGCAAATATCGCTCAAGATGCCCACGTGACTCCACAGGATCTCAAGAGGCAAAACATTTTGAAGCGTGTGTGGTGGTGCTGCATCATCCGTGATCGGATAATGCCACTCTGCGTCCGCAGAAACATTCAGATCACGCGAGAAGTCTTCGACTTTGACTCCAATCCCCCTCTCGGATATGAAGATCTTGCCGACGAACTTGAATCGTCGAGGGTGTACAACACAACCACCAAGCACACCCTCATGGTCACCCTGGAACGCTTGACTGAGCTATGCGTCTGTCTGACCGACGTCTTGACCTTGGTATATCCTACTGAACACTTGCCAATTCTTGATGCTGAGGCGCATTCTACGGCGTTTGACAAGGTTCAAGAGTATAGACGCTGTCTACAATATTGGGCTGAGATCACGCGACCACCCTTGAAGCACACGGAGCTGTCTCCTGAAACGGATTCCTTCGAAGACTCTTCCGTTTTGTTCACGAATTTGGTCTGGATATACTACCAGTGAGTACCCTGCACCGTGATACATCTCTCATCGCCCACTAACAACACCCAGTGCCGCTCGAGTGGCTCTCTTCAACTACGAACTGCATCTCGGCGTCGTCCTGGGACTCGTCACACGAAAGGCGACTTCCAATTTACAGACTCAGTTCCTTGAAGAAAACCGAAGGGGCTTGAGGAGCGCTAGCAGGAGCATCGCCGACTGCCACGGCCAACTACACCCACTTCGTCTGACGCGTTGGCTACCGAGTAGCGCTGTCGCATGCACAGCACTCCCTCTCGCCATGCACATGGTCGATATTAAGATGTCATCTACCTCATCTGGAGGCGAGATGTGGTCCCGACCGGGCATTGCTGCGAAACAGTCGCGGTTGAACGTGCTTATCCAAGCATTCAGAGAACTTCACCCCAAATACGACGGCGTGGACTCGATATCTAAGACGATTCGATATTTCATGGAATGCACCTATCTCCAGGACTCGACACCGACACCCTCTTTCGGTGAGAACACAGACGTTTTGGCCAGAAGTCCTACCTACTACCTGAGGCTGGCTTTGACGATCGACCTCAGCCTGAGCCAAGATCGTCTACCCCAAGACAGCGACTTTCCTACACCTTTGAGGCGCTTCCTGTATAACACTAGTTTATCTTCCCCTGTACTACTCGAACAACAAGTTGCTACTCACTCTCTCGCCACCAAAGCCATGACGCCCCCTCGGCCGCTGTCACCCACCGTTGTCAGAAGCTTCTCCCAATGGGTCGAGGATGATCGGTGTGTTCATTTCGCTCTTGAGATGGGCATCGACATCAGCCAACCCCCGTTTGTGCCGGAAGCTGTGCAAGAGCATACGGCAACTTTTGAACCATTGCCATGTCCCACCGAGACATGCTCCACTGAGAGTCTGGAGAGCGATTCGGCGAGGGCGGATGATGAGACAGAATACTTGCCTTCGCACCTTGACAACTTGACTGGTTGGGCTGAGAACGACCAGTCACTCTATTTCGCCCAGGAAGCTGGTCTCATTCCTCAGGGCATTGGGCTATATGATGGAGGACAAGGGGATGAGCTATATCCAGGCCTTGAAACACTCGCACATCGCACTTTGGATCTCGATATGGGGTTTCTATGGAAAGGCGTTGAGAACGGCGAACAACCGGAGGATGCTTTAGGTATGTTGATGTAAAACTCAGAAAAGAGCAGATGACTGTAATTCTCACCACCCGGAGTATGTTCTCTATTACTCGAACACTTAACGCATTGTAATATCACTCTGTACCATAATCTCAACTTGCAACTGGCACCACCAGAGAATCATTCGCATTGCTCAAGTCCCAAAGCATCTTCATAGTTTTGACTGGAACTGTTTCACGACATTGAAAGCACCTCCGCCCTTTCCAAACATCTCTCTCAGATCTTCTGCGAGTTCCTGGGGCCTTTCGTGCGCGGCGAAGTGGCCTCCGTCTGAGTGAAGCTTTTCATACACAATCGGCCCAAGAGTCCGTCCCCATGTCTGCGGAGGCACAATAAGGTCCTTTGGGAAATAGGAGAGTCCAAGAGGGACGTTTGGCACATACGCATCTGCCTTTGCCGTCTGCTCAGGGCTCGAGTGCTTGCTTTCATAATAGATCTGAGCACTTGCCGCTGGTCCTGCCGTAGAGAATTGGTAAATGGAAACCCAGGTCAGGATTTCATCATCGGTCCAAGGGTAGCTGTCTGTCCAGTCGTGAAGCTTCTCGTAGATCCATGCCAACAGGGCAACAGGTGAGTCTGCCAGAGCAAAGCCGATTGTATTTGGCTTTGTTCTCTGTTCCAGGTTGTATCCGAAACCTTCTTCGAAGAACCACTCCGTTCGAGCGCGTCCTGCCTTTTCATGGTCCGCGTATGGAAGGAGAGCGTGTTTAATATATTGCCATGGTGTCTTAAGGAAAGTGGGCGGTCCGAAGGCGCGAACAAAGTTGACGTGAGAGGCCACACAGCTTTTTGGGTATTGGACACCGATCAAGCGAGTGACGGCGTATCCCCAGTCTCCGCCTTGGGTGACTATCTTAACGTTAGCTCGCGTCGTAATCCCTAAGAAGAATGCAACAAACCATATTTGTCGTAACCCAGATTCAACATGAGCTTGTGAAATGCTTCAGCGTACTGAGGGATTCCAAACCCTCGTTTCGATACCCCGTCCGAAAAGCCAAAGTTGGGCAAGGAAGGTGCCACGACATGGAATGAAGGCCCATCTTCAGGGTCTGTGAGCAGAGGAAGAATCTTGAGCACTTCGAGGAAGCTTCCAGGCCCTGAACGGTGACAGGTCAGTGATGTGGCCATTTATATGCGTTTCTAGAACTCACAGCCGTGGGAAAATAGAAGCGGGATGCTATCCGGCTTGTTCCCTTTCTGATGCAAGAAATGGATTTGTAGGTCGTCGAAGCTGTCCACTGAGACTTTTGAAGTGAAGTGAGGCAACTTATTCAGCTCAGCTTCCTGAGCGCGCCAGTTGAACCCATCTCTCCAATAGGCAGCAAGTCGCTTCACTTCGCTCAGAGGGGTACCGGACTGCCAGTCATCAGAGAATTCAGACTCTTTGGCAAATGTTGCGTTCTGTAGTTTATTTTTGAGGGATTCAAGAGCCGAATCTGGGACTTCGATTTTGAAGGGCTTGATTTCGGTGGCCATTTTGACAACGTGAGGAGGTATATGAGATCATACAAATTGGGCCAATCGGGAATGGTGAAAGATTGATGAGATGAGCTTGATAGACTTGCTATGGGATCAATGGCCTTATCTATGCAACGTCGGGTGACAAATACAAAACCTGCATCAGTTCTGATTACCAATTAATTCGATTGTGTGATTCGGAAAAGTTGAGTTTCCAAGGGCGCGATTGACACCGGCAGTTGCATATGACGCATGATATCGGTGGTGCAACCATCGGGTGGTGGAGATCCTTTCCCGAAATGAGATATCAATCAAGGCAGCAAAGATATGCATAACACGAGCGTCGGGAGGTCGCGTTATCGCTCATGAAGGGATATGACTCACGGGAGGGGAAATCGCTCAGTGAGTTCAAAGATGACGTGCCTGTTAATATCTATCCGTGCTTATGGTCAACTTTGCTCAGGTCAATACTTGTATAATGGTTTTGGTTGCTAGATGAGTCACAAATATTCTGCAAAAGAATTGTGTTCGACTAAGGAAAGGAGGTGATTATGTCTATTAGATGCGTCTAGCTGTGATACCTGCGAACGCCAATCGTCTGTCCTGATAACCACTCGATTGCATGCCCGCTGAACAGCCCTCAACTTGAATTCCACTCAACTTTGATAGGTTCATGACCTCGAGAGAATTTCACGCCGTTAAACCACAGCTCAAACCGCAGGTCGGCCGGGGCCACGATGACACGAACATCGAAGACGCACTTGTAGTACTTGTAGCCTGGGCGGAAGCAGCCTCCACGCTTCTTCATCAGAACAAGCTCGTCCGGCTTGAGGCCAGTGAGGTTGCTCTCAACACGACAGAGCTTTTTCACGCCACCTATTGATACTCGTCAACCAGGCAATTCTTTCTTCTGAGGAAGGGGGAGAGCCTGCCTTTTAGCAGACTTTGAGGGAGGAATTTGATTTCGTTTCTGGAAGTGACAATCTGGGTGTTGAATGACGCCGCGGTTTGGCCAGGGCTTAAACGCCTTATAAACTGCTTCGTCAGCGGAGCAGTTGGATCGATCGTATCTCCCTGGCAGATGGATCAATAAATGTGCAAAAGAGTGATCGGGTGGTAACTTTTGATACATACCTTGCGGATGACCCATTCTATCTGGTTGACAGCCCATGTTTGATTCGCATCAAACTGATCCTGTTCCAGTTGTTCGCCGATGTGACGATCAGGGCTATAGGGTTCTCGGACCACAACACCGTAGCTCGCTCTCGCGATGTACGTGGCGAGAACTGGCATGTTTCCAGTCTCCATCTTCTGCTTGTAGTCTTGGAGAAGCCCCTTCACAACGGTAGTTTGGGGGTCCTTGCTGGCAATGACTCTGACTTGACGAGCATTTGGGTGAGTGAACTGGGAAAAGTACTCCCTGATGCGCCGCTGTACGTATTTAGAGCTGCCTAGCCCTCCAGACAAGACCATGTACGTCTTGAGTGCATATTAGCATGAGTTCATACTTGTGCTGGCCATAGTCATACCACTTGCTCACTGCGCCCATTCTGCACCATCCAGTTCAGCTGCTCTCGTATCTTTGTCATGATGTGTTCGACATGAGGATCAAAAAGGCTTTGTATCTCGTTGCTGTCTAAAGTTAGACATGGCGTCCTGGACCTGGGTATTCTGGTGGTAGCTCACTTATCGAAAATCATGCACCCTCCTTCAGCCCGGAGCCTGTCATGCCTGAAGTCACTTGAGACCCCGGGCATTTCGATTTTGTGACATTGGGCAATGGACGAAGGATCGCCGAAAAGGTGCTTGACAGCTCTGAATTTGGCGCTCCTCATCATTTTCTCTGCAAGGCCGTCTGCGATATTGAATGGTACGTCAGGGTTTTCAGCCAGACGCTGATCGACGAGGTTCCCGAAAGCGGTGTCTATGAGAGTCGAGCCGATCCCGATTCCACTGACTTCGGCAATCTGCGACATCTGAGGGATTCCGTTGTCAACCTTGGTAACTCGAACCAAGGAAAAATCTGTTGTGCCGCCGCCAGCATCGATGGTGAGGAATATGTCTCCAGCGCAGAAGTTGACCACACCGCTCTTGAGAGTGTCGACTGCGGCGGCCTCGGCCTCAGTAAGGTCGATCTGCGCCAAGTGGCGTGGTCCTTCGGTGCCGAACCCAGCGGATCTGATGGTGGCTTTGAACGTGTTGCTCACATCCATGCCTCTCCATGTCGTGGGGACGCTGAAAAGAAAGGTGACAGATGAGTTGGCCCAGCTTGTTCCTGTCATCTCCTCGTAAGTGCTCTTGGTGTGGCGGTAAATCTCCCGGAGGTAGTCTGTAGCGCACCTTACGGCTTCTGCAGTGGTTGCGACTGTCGCCAAGCCTGCTTTCCTCGCCTCCTCGCAGGTGTCTTGATCAAGGAACATCTTGAAGAGGCGATGCTCCCTCTTGCCAGGCGGCAAAGGTTCGTCATAAACACTACAGAAGAAGCCCCAAGAAGATACAGTGTTGTCATGGTTGTAGATAAGGCGGCTGGGAACTTTGGTCTCGCCAGTGTTGTTGTTTCCAGGCCAGCTGTTGAAAGTGTGTATTGTTCCATTCGATAACAAAAAGCCAACACCTAATAACTAGTCAGACATCTAGAACTGGCATAAATATTCTTAGTGGAGTGGTTTAGTACCTGTGAAAGTGGTACCGAGATCAATGGCTACCGTGACATCGGGTTTCTCAGTCATCCTGGGCGGACAAGTCGACTGAGTAGTGGACAGTGAGAGGAGGACCGTAGACAAAGGATTTACTGATACTGTTTAGAAAATCTGTATTTAAAAGGACGAAAAAAGTCGGATCTGGGAACAGCTTGTAGAATGCCTGGATGAAGGAAAGAAGAACGCGGCTCATCGGCTGCGACTCTGGGAAAGCAAACGAATAACTGTCTGACACACGCCAAATTCTTAAAGAGAAACTCTGATTAAGGGTGCAGCTACATCAAGCCGAACCATTCCTCTTATCACCTCGCTTGCGTTAAAACAGCCTTGCCAAGGGGCCAGAACATTTTGAGTCAGGTGGCAAGCTGGTACAGCCAGCCTCAACGGAGCCAAGGCGACAGGGGGATAACGACGGCTGTCGTTGCTTTTGAGGCACGGTCGAGCGCCTCCCTTGCTGCTGTATCATGGTGAGAGGGTCCCGAGGGCGCTTCCCAAAGATATGCGAATGAATTTAAATTGTTAATTCTTCCTCCCGCTCACTGACAGCCTTTCCATCACTGTTCCCTCTTATGTGCCCATCACCCCAAAAGTTTACCCCTTTCTTACATTTTCAGACCATATTGGACCTCAACGGTGCCGACAATGACTTTCCACCATTATTTCAGAAGACAAACAACCGAAGTTGTTACCACTTATACCACTACGAGTAGTAGTACCCCAGTCACTATAACCTCTACAGAGAGTGGCCCTGCCTCAATCTCAAGTGAAGCAGAAACACCCACGCTTACCAACCCGGTCCCGGTGAGCAACTCGGGTTCCGCCGCTCCCGCAGAGAATTCTGGCTCGCCATCCAACAAAAAGCATGGGGACGGTGTGGTTGCTGGAGTAGCTGTTGGCTGCTTGGCTGCCGGCTTGATACTTGGAATCATCATTGGATGGCTAATTCGCCGCACCAAGAGCCGCTCCAGGCATCGCAGAAGAAGACATGGAAGCGACGAGAAGGCGAAAATGTTGAACCAACCAAGAGATGATGGCTCGGTCGCCCTGGGGCCCTTGGCGAGGAAGATCGAGCTAGAGCATGTCATCTTACAGCCGGCACCCGACAAAAACATTGTTGACGACTTGAGGCGCCTGGAAGTCATCATTGAGCAACATGCTGGGGCCCTCTACCACTCTGATCCAGTGGACGTCAAGGCGGTGAAATTGGCTCACGCTCTCAACGCTTTGGGGATCAGCAAATCCTCTTCGGGGTTCGACGCTGAGACTGTGGCTGGCCTGTGCCTCCAACCAAACACCCGCCGCGGAGCTCTCCAGCATGTCATCTCGCATGTCCTGTTCAGCAGCATCGACTGGAACTCTCCGGGACCCCTCACATTGCTTCCGAACCCGGCAGTTGGCTTTCTCAATTCCATTCGCCCAGTCGAGGAGTACCGAGATAACTTTGACGGTAAGCATAAAACCCAATGTCTCTGAATCAAGCCACTAATGCAGCTTCCTAGTCATGTCGTTTGCCTGGACTCGATGGCGCACCCTATCAGCATTGTTCCTACATCCCGCCCCCCACGAAAGGACACCGCTCGAGCTACCAGAGCCTGATGTCCAAGACCAGGCTAAGAACGTGGCTAAAGCCTTGGATTCCGTCCTCCACTTTTTCGTTGCGCCTGATCAAGAGACCCGGCGCAAACAGCTCGACCACCTTCATGTGATGATTATTGACGCAGCCAAGCTCGGTTATGTCTTGTTCTCACACACTAGTGACTGGAGGTTCATTTACAAGGATGAGTCTGGAAAAGGAGGCGCTGTTGTGTGCGTGGGTTTGGAGAAGCTGAGTGGTCGGGATGGACGTCGGCTCGGCTCACCACAGAGAATTGCCGAGCCTCGTCTGCTTTCTTGAGACTTTTTCCTTTTCTCTTCTCGTTTTCGGTCTTTCCCTTGCTCAAAGTGGCTTACAGGGTGGTAATTAGTTATGTACTCTGAGTCTTTCAATAATACAGATCACCAGGGCCTTGGTACTTGGGTATACACCTCGTCAGCCTTAACTTGAGCCAGGCCACATGAACGGGACAAAAGCCACCAGTCTAGACCCAAAGTGATTCAGCCTCAGGCGGTTCAATCCAAAGTAACTAAGCTTGGCAGGCTTGGTACATGTCAGATGCAAATGTGGTGGTGGGAACGATCGGACAGAATGAACACCCCGTTGCTGCGGTTTTGGCCTGACAAACGTAGCATTCCTAGTGGTTACGGGCCTCAGACTCATCAGTGTTACGACTTCCTTTTGTCTGTTCCCGAGAAGCGACAGAGGATCTACCGCCGCCCTTGATATCACCCATCTTACTCACCTCTCGTACCGCAGACCAGTACACTATCATCAGGATGGCAGAGCTCGTCCCCGCCGGAGTTCTCGGTACTATTACATACCATATCATCACTCTCGCCATCGAAACTGGCCAGGCCAACGATGAGGTTCGTCGCAGCCTTGAGTTGGTCCGCACCTGTGATCGAGACCTCCAGCACTTGATCAGTTTGCGCGATGAGCATCTGGACATCTTGGAACGGAAACCGATCGAATTTGAGCGTATCAACTTGATCATCGAGGATGCCCACAAAGGTCTCCTTGAGGTAGGAAGGATCGTCGAAAAGTGCAGGCCAGAGGCAAACAGGGGCAAGCTGCCATTCGGAAAGCGAGGACGATGGGTTTTGTTCGATTCGAAGCAATTCAACAGCCAGGTCCCAGTAATTAACGGCCATCATCAAGCAGTACTGACTGAGATCACCTTTCTCCGGCAAATTGCCCTTCATATCCCGACTCCGGTGCAAGATCAAGTGGTACACGCAGGCGCCAACTTGGCTCAGCGAAAGCGAGTTGCTATCGACAACGTCAACCTCTTGGGCAGTCTCATGGGAAGAAAGCTAGGTGTGTCCTCTTCAATCGTCTATCCCTCTATGCCCGGGCTAACATGTGTGATGCCCATCAGCTACGAGACATTCGATGTCAGCACCTCAGGCCTCCCCAGTTGACTCTGCTGTCGATCCTCACAATTCACAATCAACTCCGCCCTCTCTACCACCCAAGCCCCCTTCTTATCAAAGCCCCAATTTCGTTGCAACTTCTTTCGCAAAGCATATCAGCCTCGCCGATATCCAGGCAAGCAGAGGGAGCGCGAGTACGATGTACGACCCTTTTCCGCCTACTTCCTATACGCAACCACCAGGCTTCAGTGCTGTGCCGCCCCAGTTTGTGCAGGAACAACTTTCTACAGGCGCGACACCGGCACAGTACAGGTCGCCCTCGCCGTTCTCATTTTCTGGGCCGCAGTCTCAGTATCAAGGGAGCCCTGCATACCCCTCGAATATTCCCAGTCAGCCTACTCCAGCCCCCTCATATCGCTCAACACAAACCCAATGGAGCAACGGACAAGCCTACCTGCGAGGGAACACGGCGGAACTTACCGAGGGAGGAGTGAGGCCAGGAGACACTAGGCAGGCGAGGGACCTTAGGGATCTAGACTGGGAGTCGCAGCCTGCAAGCGAGGCAAACACCACAAGGGAGATGCCGCGTTCAGACTTAGGTCGACGGAACATCAGTGCTCAAGCCACGTCTACAGCCTCTTTTCAGAACTGGGGTGATTGGAATCGTTATTGAATAAAGAACGAATCATACGCTGGAACCTGAGGTAGCTGTGTGTCTGAGCACAAACATGATTTGTGAGAACCCAATTCTGTGTGACCGTCCAGACAAGCTGCAGGCGGCTGAGATAATCTGTCATTTTCTTTGCAAATGTCACATAACTGACTCAAAGAAGCGCCTTGTCTTGGCAATCAGGCTCCGGACGTCTTCAAAACCTTGGCCTGAATATCGAGCGGCCGAGGCGGTCTTGGCAATCAGGCTCTGGCTCCTCTGTTTGAGACCGCATGCCCCCTTTCGTGCGGAATTTTACCGCTGATCATTCAGCCCTGAGCGAGGCTTGAACCGGGTTGACTCGGTGCCATTTGTTCGCTGGGTGATGGCTGTCCTCCCTTGGCCGACGGCAACTCAAACTTTTCAGGTGATTCACTATGGTTACTCAGATAAGGCAAGCTGGAATCTATCGGTAGCGCTCTGGGCGGTCCTGCAAGCTGGATCGCGGGGAAACAAGTATGATAGCAACAAGGGTTCAGTTTTTCGTATGTCTATCTAGCCCCTACAAGTGACCTTGGTGGTCTTAGTCGTTCTTCTTCCCACGGGACAAAAACTCCCGAATCACATTCTCAGTGATCTGTGCAACATCATTCTGGTATCCATCCCAAGCCAACGAGTTGTTCCAGTTGATGCTTCCCACGCTAAAGACAGAACCGCCTCCGTTAGTCTCGTAGTACACCATGTCGCTCCGTACAAGAGGAGAGGTAGATCCCAGAGTTCCAATCATGGGGAAAATTAGCTCTTCGTTGAAGAGCATGAAGTGGTCGTCGTGACGCTCACTTCTGGCAAGAAGAATTGCGTTCTCGGGACTTCCGATGGCGACGTCCAGGCGGTCAAGCTCGTCACCGCTAGCACCTCCAGCCAGTCCCTTGGTACCGAGAAGCTTCTTGGACTCTTCGTTGAGTCCCTTCCAGAGCCAGGCAAGAGAGGGGTTGTTCAGAGCCTCTTCTGTGGGGATGAAAGGTCGCCCGGGACCCTTGCCGGAAGCGCAACTTCCAATACCCCAGAGTTCGTTGGGAGGACGGCCAAGAGATCGCCAGAGACCTCCGAGCTCTCCGTTGAGAGCATGGTGACGCTCGCCGGCAGGGTTCTGATGTGTTCGGGCTCCGACATCAGCCCGGCGGACTTCCATTCGGTGAGGTCGCTTCGGATCGGTCACGGATTTCCACTACAAAGAAATCATGTCAGTTAAAATTTGCACCAGACTGGTCTATCTCCATGTGAAGACTTACGTAGAAACCGTTTCCGCCTGCATAGATAAGCGAACCACCATTCTGGGCGTGACCCTCGTAAGCGTCAAGGGCTTCAAAGGAAGGGTACTCTGGGTGAGAGCCGGAAATGACTACGTCGTACTGAGCCAGTGCAGCACGACCTCGAAGGTGGAGGTCATGATCCGTGAGGATATCATATCCATCTCCAAAGTGCTTCTCCAAGAATCCAACCATCAAAAGATCAGCAGAGAACTCCCTGGGTCGCTGGAAGCCCCAGTGGATATAGTCAGGGCGCACATTGAGGATGGGTCGCTTCGTCGTACTATACACAACACCTGAACCGTCACTGTGTACGTCATAGATGGAGAGACCAAGATCATGGCGTCTGACCATCTTGTGATAGTTTTCTGACGCTACGAGTTGGATACCCTCGGGGAAGGAGATGCGGGTGGGCTTGCTCTCGTCGTACATGTGTTCATTTGCATACGCGAGGTAGGTAAAGGTAGAGAAGATGAAGGCAATCTTGGCTTGCGGGCGGACCTCCTTGGGGCGGACGAAGAAGACGATGGCATCTTTCAAGTCTGACTCGGTGTCTTCTACTTCAATTGCATAGGCGCCCGAGCGAAGATCAGATGGGACCGTGAACTGGAAATCGGTGTCCCAAGCAGCATCATCGAGGTCATCTTCATGGAAGTGAATCGCACCAAATCCATACTTTGCCTCCTTCCAACCAATGCCGATGAGTTTGTGGTCGTAATCGTGGCCACGGATGGCGCGTGTGGGAGCGTTGACGAGGATGCCGCTGAGTCCAGAACCAGAGACGTCGAAGATCTCATCAGTGTCAATGCCCACGGAGAAATCATACTTGGCGATATCCCATGACTTCTTTCCCAAGGCTCTGAAGGTGGGAGAGTCGATTCTTCCATTGAAGAAGTGTACTGGGAACTCGGACGGTGATAGGGGGTTGGCAGCCAAAGTTGCGGCAAAGTAAAGGGGGCTTCCAGAGTCTAGTAGAGCAGCATCCGCCAGTGTTGTGTGGACAGTAGTTGGGCCCGGGGCAATCTCACTTCCGGCTTTGAGATGGGACAACTCCAGCTGAAGGTCTTTGCCCCGGATGGTGAGACGGACGTGGAACCACCGCTCACGTCGAGCAGCAGATGCGATCTTCTTGGTCTCAACAGCCTTTCCTGTACCAATCCAGACGACTAGGTTGTCTTCTTTGTCTAGAAGTACGCAGATGCCAGCCTTTTTCGTGGTGTCAAGGTTGGAAAGAATGGCTTGAGGATGAGGAGCGCGCAGCATCCAGGGCTGAGCGTAGAACTCGATCTGGACAGCCTCAGACTTGTTCAGAAGTGGCTCTCTTGTCCAGGCTTCGACTAGGCCATAAGATCCTGGGTGGGATGCCTGGAAACGGCCCTTGAGCTCTCCCTTGGGGCCATGCTCCACGACTTCTTTGGCGGGTGTAGGAGCATGGGGCACGTCAAGGCCTTGCAGGAGACGAACCAGCCGATACTTGAGCTTCGGGCTTGTTGAAGATATCTGCTTGCATAATCAGGATGTGGTTCCGTGGATGGAAATGTGCTAAGCGTGATTTACCTTGACGTTGGCAACATCGCCAGGAGACACAACCCAAGGGTCGACATACCCGGTAATTTCCTCCTCGTCGTGACGAAGGGCTGGACGGACAGGGTATTGTGCAGCAACCATTTTGGGAGTTTATTTCAGAGAGTTAGGCAAAGATAGGGCCAAAGCTTATTATCAGCAGAGACTGTAGGGGAGAACAAGGGTGCTGTTGTGCTTGGGTCGTTCGTTCTAGGTTGCACCATGGCTACAAGAGTCTGCCCCTGCCTCCTTATAGTGAAAGGATAAGGCCGTTCGAAAGAGGAAACCCGAAACAAACTGCTAGTGCAAGGCCGGCTTATTTCCCCAAGGAGTAATCACGTCGGCTACAGTCTGACTGAGGGGTTGAGGAGGAGATAAGGATCGAGGAGAAGTCAGTAGTCTGGCTTGGCGAGAGGGAATGCGTATGTCGAGGGGATGTTGGTTTCCGGGCTCATTGACTCAAGTAGGAAGTAAAACCATTAACTTCCCTTTCTGTAGAGATTACAATTCCTTTTGCCAAGACTTTGCCTACCATTGGCGTGAGGAGATGGTCGGGCAATGATGATCGCCCAATGGCTGGCTTATCCAACTTATCAGACATGGCCTAGCTGCAACAGACGGATTTCAACCGAATTGGACGCCTCTTAGACCCATGCTAAACCCGTCTCCGTCCCCGCACTGGTGCCCAGAGACTGGGGAGGCTAACCTGGTTCATCATATAACCTGGGGTTCCGGTGCTCCGCCAGGGGGTCGAGTCCACTAGCCTGTGTCCATCCCCACTAACATGGCGCTCGGTCACCAGTTTTTAATCAAGAGATGAGAAGCTTGACGTCAAGGGAGGCTTTTCGGGCGCGGGGAATAGCTCCGAGGCTTTGATAATCACACGTTGCCAAGTGCCCTCACTTGAATCAAAGGAAGAGGCCAGGAAGTATTGATCCGTCTCTCAACTCCTCGAAAGAGGTATAAAGAAGACCCCATCCATCTGCATGACGCTGAGATCCCAACGCATACGTGCCCAAAACACCATCGTCTCCTTGCCCTCGGTCACCTTATTTCAGTTTTTACAATGTCCCCTCAGAGTCAGTCTCCTGCAGACATGCAGGACCAGATAGAGGCAATCCCCGGAACGGTCCACCTTGTGGACTCACAGGGGAACATGAATTCGCAGCACGCGCGTGGAGCGGAAAGGGATATTGTCCTTGTGCCAGCGCCATCGGCCCACCCTGACGATCCTCTCAACTGGTCCCCCCGGCGCAAATATCTCTCTGCTTTCTGCATGGCGGCGTACGTTGGGCTCATTTGTGACTTTCAAAGTGACTAACTCTGCAATTAGCTATGTCTTTCTGATCGGCATTAGCTCTTCGGCCTTGTATTCCACGCTGGGCCCCCTGTCAAAAGCGACGGGTCTCACTTACAATGACCTCAACTCTGGAACCGGTTACATGGTACGGGACCCCATTCAGACCCAGTTTCTTATCTTGTTACTCTATCACAGTCCTCTTTGAGTGGATACTTGCGTAAGCTGTTATCTGATTTATCTCATAGTTCTTGTTCTACGGATGGGGATGCATTATCTGGCAGGCCCTAGCTATCCAGTATGGAAAAAAGCCAGTGTACCTTTTGAGCACAGCCGGCACGTTGGTAATTTTCCTCTCCCCATTGGATCTTCTCCTCTGATCGTGATAGGCTGTAATGGTCTGGCAGCCCTACGTCCGCTCCAACGGAGAGTGGGTCGCAACCAAGATCTTGCAGGGGATATTTGGTGCACCCATTGAGTCTCTCGCTGAGATCACAGTTTCGGATGTGGTATGAATGACTTTCAACATCCCCAAGATCTGATCATGGTTCTTAAAAAGTTGTGGTAGTTCTTTACGCATGAAAGAGGCAAGTTCATCGCACTCTACGCCCTCGCGCTTGGATGGAGCAATGGAGTTGCGCCTTTGATAATGGGATTTATCAATGACGGCCAAGGCTACAAGTGGGTTTTTGTAAGTGATCTCTGAGCAAACAGGACGCGATGTTGAATATCTAATACACCCTGACAGTATTGGTGTGCCATCTTTTGCGCCATCTTATTCCTCATCATCTTCTTCTTCATGGAGGAGACAAAATTCGACCGCGCCAAGTACATGGCCACTCATCACATCGAAGGCCAACCCCTACCAAGCGCCAACCGTGTCCAGCCGGAGCTCGATAGTAAGGATGACACAGATGACAAGAAGGATAGCAATCAAGAGCCGGTCCACACCACCACTACACTCTCGCAAGTCGAAGGCCCTCGCCATGGTGTTGACGAGCAGTACCAGAAGAAGCCCCGACTGGCCAGGCTGAAGCCTATCGAGCGAGAGAACCTGCGTGGTAAGAATCAACTTGTCAAGCTAATCATTCGCCCCATCCTTCTCCTCTTGTTCCCCATCATTTCCTACGCCGGTTTCATCTATGGTAGCAACATCATCTGGCTGTCGGTTTTGAACGCAACAGAATCCATGGTCTTGTCCAATGAGCCGTACAACATGTCAACTTCCACAGTTGGACTGACCTTTATCGCCCCCTTGGTTGGCACCACTCTCGCGTAAGTTGATCGGTCCGTCTTTGTGATCACACGACAGAAATCTAATGTCCAGTTAGATGTGTGTATACCGGCATCTTCGGAGATCGCTTCATTGTGAAGATGGCCCGCCGCAACAATGGATACATGGAGGCCGAGCATCGGCTCTGGCTCTTCCTCCCTTCGCTTGTACTCATTCCGTTTGGCTGCATCTTATTCGGTGTCGGAGCACACTTTGAAGTGCACTGGTTCGGCATCGTCTTTGCCATGGGAGTCATCTCATTTACCACGACGGCTGGATCCCAAATCTCGATCGCATACTGCATCGATTGCTATCGCGACCTTGCAAGTGAGGCTTTGGCCACGGCCATTATCATCCGAAACACGATGGCATTTGGTATTGGATATGCGTAAGCGAAAGGATTTATCAAGCCAAAGCATTATGATGTCACTGACCGAAGTACCAGCGTGACCCCTTGGGTTGTCAATCTCGGTTACCAAAACGCCTTCATTCTTGGGGCTTTCGCAGGGCTTGCGCACAACTTGACCATTTTCCCCGTCATGAAATGGGGACGCGCCCTGAGAGAGCGAAGTGCCGAGAAGTACTGGAAGACGGTCAAGGAAGGATCCGATTTGGACCTTAATCATTAAAGATACGACTCTTGTGATCGATCTGTTGATGTGCAAGTTGGGAGATTCGAGGTGTGTCTAGGGTATCTGTGGCTGGAGCTGTGGCTTGTGCTGAGGAATGAAGGAAATGTTGCGCAAACTTCCTGACTTGGTAGTATCTTCAGCGGCCAATCACAAGCGAGAACAAGACGCGCCACGATGACCACATGGCTTGGCTTTGCAATCTTACAGGACAACTCAGTTGCCAGGGCGAGAATAGGGGAGGATTATTATTAGGTCAGATCAGGTCAGATTGAGGAGGCAGCCAGTGAGTCAGGGCCTGGGCTGGTTTCGAGTTGACGATACTGCCACTTTGGGTAACACGAGAAGCAATGTCTCAATATGGAACTACCGTCATCAAGAAATTCTCTGATTGGCCACCATGTCAGCCTCAGTCTCCTAGCACATGCAAAGATGCGACAAGCCATGCTTCGACTGCCATCCATGGCCAGGCCGTGACAAGCCATTATCTGCCGAGAGGCGCCTTACCCTAACGAGGTGGTGGCTGTGTCGCATCATGATTGGATGAGAAGTGGGCTTAGTATGACATAATCTGACCGCCTCCCCCTTTTCCGTTTTCAGCCACGTCCACCGTCAACACATGCTTTTTGAAAAGACGGTATAACCATCCGAGCTCAAAACTGCACCTCGGACGTTTCTGTCCCCGTTTTTCACCACTCAGCTTCTTGAAGTAACTGCACTGCTACATCATGGGTGAGGTATTGGAAACTCAGACGGCGCCTGTTGGCGGTAGTGAGGCCGAGGAATGGTGTATGTTCCTCACTGCCCTTGACCCCTATTTTTATGCTGACGTGATATAGATCTTCCTGATAAGATGCTTGCCAGTTCGTGATGAAATTTCTCTGTTGCCGAGTCAGCGCTGACCATTTTGGGTGCAGGACACCCTGGCAGGCCTCACATTGCTGGTGAGTCATGAGCCAGCATTTGATTTTATGAGCCTAGCTGACTTGTCCAAGGCCTCGATGAGTATCGTCAGATGCACCAGCTCTCCATCCAGGATCCTGATACCTTTTGGGGACAACAGGCTCGAGATCTTCTCTCCTGGGAGACTGACTTTCACACCGTCCAGCATGGATCCTTGTCCGAGGGCAACGTTGGCTGGTTCCTTGGAGGCAAGCTGAACGCATCCTTCAACTGCGTGGATCGACACGCCCTCAAGGACCCCAATAAGGTTGCTATAATTCACGAAACTGATGATGGACATGGCGGCCACTCGGTGACTTATGGAGAGCTGCTGAAGCAGGTGAGCAAGGTTTCTTGGGTTCTTAAGGATCTGGGTGTGCGAAAGGGCGATACCGTCGCTATCTACATGCCTATGGTTCCTGAGGCCTTGGTTGCCATTCTTGCCTGTGCTCGCATTGGCGCAGTTCACTCCGTCGTCTTCGCTGGCTTTTCTGCCGGATCTCTTCGAGATCGCATCACCGACGCCAAGAGCAAGGTCGTCATCACAGCCGACGAAAGTCAGCGAGGCGGCAAGACTATCGGCATCAAGAAGATTGTCGATGAGGCCCTAAGCCCCCTTGAGGGTGTCCAGACTTTGGTCTTCAAGCGGACTGGTGCCGAGGTTGGCTGGGTTTCCGACCGAGACCACTGGTGGCATGAAGAGGTCAAGAAGTGGCCTAGTTATATCCCTCCCGTTTCCATGGACGCAGAGGATCCCCTTTTCCTTCTGTATACGTCTGGATCCACGGGCAAGCCAAAGGGTATCTTGCATACTACCGGCGGCTATCTCGTAGGAGCTGCGGCCACTGGCAAGTATGTGTTCGACATTCACGGAGATGACCGCTATTTCTGTGCTGGCGATGTCGGATGGATTACTGGCCACACCTATGTTGTTTATGCCCCTCTGCTCCTGGGCGTGTCCACCGTCGTTTTCGAGGGCACACCCACATACCCTTCCATCAACCGCTACTGGGACATTATCGCCAACCACAAGATTACGCACTTCTACGTTGCGCCCACTGCTCTTCGACTTCTGAAGAGAGCTGGATCGGATCCTGTTGACCACGACACCAGCAGCCTCCGCGTCCTTGGTTCAGTCGGAGAGCCTATCGCTCCTGAGATTTGGAAGTGGTATTTCGATACCATTGGCAAGGGTGAATGTCACGTTGTTGATGTGAGTTTAGCACCCATTTCCCATGACTGTTTGATCAGCCATCATGCTGGAAAACCTTGCTGACCATATTAGACGTACTGGCAAACTGAGACTGGATCTCATGCTGTTACGCCCCTCGCTGGTGTGACGCCTACCAAGCCCGGATCTGCTTGTTTGCCCTTCTTTGGTATCGATACTGTCTTGATCGACCCCGTTTCTGGTGAGGAAATTCATGGAAATGGAGTCGAGGGTGTGCTTGCTTTCAAGTCTTCTTGGCCTAGCATGGCTCGAACAGTGTACGGTGATCACCAAAGATTCCAGGAGACATATCTGGACGTTTACAAGGGGTACTATGTGAGTCAACTGGATCCCAACTATTAGTTCGTTTGCTAATGTCGATACCTAGTTCACCGGTGATGGTGCTAGCCGTGATCAGGATGGCTTTTACTGGATTCGCGGCCGCGTTGACGATGTCATCAACGTCAGCGGCCATCGATTATCCACTGCTGAGATCGAAGCTGCCATGGTCGAGCACTCCGCGGTCGCTGAGTCTGCCGTTGTCGGTATCGCCGACGAGCTCACTGGTCAGTCCGTGGTGGCTTTTGTCTGCCTCAAGGAGGCCTTCAGGGCCAATGAGGAAGCCATTCATCTTGAACTCAGGCTGCAAGTTCGAAAGAACATTGGTCCTTTCGCGGCCCCTAAGAACATCTTTGTGGTTACTGATCTCCCCAAGACTCGATCTGGAAAGATCATGCGTCGTGTTCTGCGCAAGGTTGTCATGGGCGAGCAGGATCAGCTTGGAGATGTAACTACCCTGTCGGATCCCTCCGTTGTTGGAAAGATCATCGACGTTGTGCACAAGGGGGAGTAGAGGTATCGATAGAATGGGTATTAGACGGCGATGGTTGAACTGATCAGCGGGCTGGTAGAGTAAAATGGGTTCTCGTCGGTTAAAGGGGTGTAGAATAGTCCTTTGAGTTTAATACACGTTTTTATGTAAAATTCGGGAGACACATTAAGGTGACAGATTTCCCCCTTGAAAGATATTGCTAAAACTTATAGTGCAATATTAATTGGGCGCTCAACGTCTTGCTAGAGTAGTTGTCTTGCTATCATAGCACGTCATTTATCAGAATAAAACTTATTTAACTAAGATTAATAAAGTAACTCATATGAGGGGAAAGAAAGATGTCGGATTTGGAAGCTTGTTTTCTTATATATTCTAAGTTATTGAGGAAGATCACCTCGAGTCCAGCAGATATTGAGCCCAACGGACTTTCATACGAGATGAAAAAGAGCAGTCTAGCAGTGTAGCGGAAGAACTTTGTATTCTAGATACGACTTTTATCACTCAACCATGGGCCTGTGACAAAGTCCAAGCCTTCCCGTAACCAAACATCCTGTGTGGTGGCAGAGAAATCAAAACCATGATCACCTGGGCGAATGGCCATGTGCAGCTTGGTATCTGGGTGTGACCTTTGCAGTATGTTGACGAGCTTCCTTGTGCCATCAACTGGAACCGCGGTGTCGTTCTCACCGTGAAGCAGAAACAATGGCGGAAGAAGTGGCTTTCCAGGCTCTCTTTGATGTAGTAATCCCGCTTCTATGCGTTCAAGGACAAACAGCTCTGGCTCCCGACCCAAGATGTCAAGGAAACGACAGTTCTGGACCACGGCTATGGCAGAATCCAGTCTTGTGGGCGGGTCTGCCTCCGTGATGGCGGAATTCCCAGCAGTAGCTGATATGAAGCTATCTGCAGTTTCCCGAGGATAGTTGGAAATTCCTACAATCGGTTTCTGATAGGGTTCTGTATAATGAGCTGACTGCATGTCTATCATGGGATAGAGAGCAATCATGGCCTTGGGGCTCGTAAACCCTGACAACACAGACTGTAAAGCTAGATATCCGCCTAATATACAAAGGTTAGCCAACGCCTTTTGAATATTTGAAGGTAATGAACGCACCTGCGCTTTCACCCACAAGCAGAGTTTGGACCAAATTCATTGCGATACTGGACCGTCCAACTGAGGCAAGGTGTCGTCCAGGACCTCCTGATTGTACCCAGGCCCAGAAGTTGGCCATATCCCGTATGATGTCCCTCCCTTTGACTTCTGGAAGAAGGCGATAGTTTGGACTGAGTATGATGGCATCGTGCTCATCTGCAAAGTCTAGAATCCATTTGGAGAACCAAGCTGGGAAAAGACTTGATCCTGTAATCTGAATGGCTTTGTAAGTCTGAGTGGTCGATATCGTGTTAATAGCACTTACAAGAAACCCGCCGTGTATTCTCACAATAACAGGTCTGGCTGTCGTACGTTTTCTCTTGGGAACCAAGATGTCTACCCCAATCTCAACACCCGCAGACTCAAAATGAGCCCGAGTGATGTCAAAGCCATTGAAGATGTCGTGAGGCACGCTATGCAGAATGTCGATCAGGGCCTTGAACTGAGCGTCACGCTCTTGCTTGGTAACCTCCATTGCGCCTAAACGAGACCACGCTGAAGTTTCCTGTCTTGTCTCTTGGCTATTGGAGAGAGGAGATAAAAGAAGGAGAAAAGTGGAATCAGCCAGGGCCGTCACAATCTTATACTCGATATGGAGAACAGAGAGTTGCGCTTGTTCCGCACCTCCCGATACCCCGCTCCTTAGCATATTACCCAAAACAGCTTACGCCACGGGGACCGTCGGAGCAGTATGGAGCTATCGAGAAGTTCTTGAAATGGACCCGTTAAGTTATGGACACAGCTGCTTGCGAGATGGCACAAGTGGGACAAAAGATACGGGGCCACAGCGTTAGGAAGCGGATGGATTTCATGTGAAGCTCAAGCGTTCAGGTTCGGATGCGTATCATCCTCAAAGAAAAATATCGTCTAATGTTTGTATTTGACTGTTTGATACTGAGAGAACGGCCGTGTCAACCTCAACAATCCTGGCGCCATATAATTCAACATCATGGTCCATCCGCCTGCTGCAAAGCCTTGTATATCTCGGTCTCTACACGATCAGAGCACTCAAGTACCAAGTGATCTATTGTGGACTGTTGGCTTTAGAACATCCTCATGAGCCTGGAGAACTTACCCCCATAAGGGATGATTTGGGAAGCAATGATGCCGCCAATGTTGTTTTTTCTGTCAGCGAACCAGAAGAGATTAGCCAAACCTTCCCAAGACGCTGTACCGGCAGCTCGTCCTGTTTCAGAGGGAAAGTGACTGATTGAAAATGACATTCCCCATCCCTCGGTGTGATCGTCCGGCATTGGGGTCAAGGGTGTTGGGTTGGCCAGCTCGGGCTTTGCTACCGGAACACAGACGTTACTGTAACGTGGTTTATCGGCAATCTGATCCGTGAACATGTCTGTAGTTGAGGATGTGGTGTTAATGGGAACAACTTCGAATGCCAGAAGCAAGTACACGCACCTTGGACAGTCTCGGGCTTGAGAAGTCGTACGCCTGTTACCTTGTCGATGCCGTCGTTGAGCAGAAGTGAGATGAGTCCTAATGTTGTAAGTATGGGCAATAGGAACAAAGGGTAAAACTTACTTCCGAACTCAGCCGGCTTTCCAAAACAACCATGGCCTCCAGCGCACGGGGCCTTGTTTCCCTCTCCGTAGGCCAGCAACGGTCGTCGGTAAAAGTGATCAGTAGTTGCTAGCTTTTCATCCGCAGACCTTCGATGCATGTAGGCCATATTTGCCTTGGCCTCTTCTGAGGGATGAAAGGTCACACTGCCCATCCCTAGGGGTCGGAAGATGTTGGCTTTGAAGTATTCGTCCAACGACTTTCCAGAGACTCGCTCAATCATGACACCCACCCAGTCCATCGAGATTCCATACTGGAACTTCTCGCCAGGTTGGTTGACAAGAGGTCGGTTGGATATCTCCACTGCTTCACCTGAGAAATCATCTGCACCAACTGGGCGAGTGTATTCTGCCAGCTTGTCATCCTCAAAGGCGTATCCAAAACCGGCTGACGTCTGTTAACACGGTTTCATCCCACAAGTCGATTTCAAGGGTACTTGCCAGTGTGGTTCAGGAGCATTCGTAGAGTAATTCTTCTCTTCTTCTCAGCAAGCTCGAAGCCGCCATTGGAGGCGCGAGTCAACACTTTTACATCTCTCAACTCAGGGCAGATCCTCTCAACTTCATCAGCATCGTCAAGGTGCAATAGGCCACGCTCGATAAGTTGCATGCAAGAGACAGAGGTTGCAACCTTGGTAAAAGAAGCCAAGTAAAAGATGGTATCTGTGGACATCAAGTCCTGCGAGGACATTCCTCTCGTGCCAGAGCAATGCTGGAAAATTGGTTGACCATCGTTTCTGAAGGCAAGATAGACTAAGCCAGGAATCTTGCGGTCAGTACCCCCAGATGTGTATTCGTCAATGATGTCACGGAGCTTATCCTGGAGGCCTGTAGAAAGGATGGAAGACATGGTGGCAGAGTTGCTAGGCGATGACAGGGAGGTGGCCGAAAGTCCAGAACACAGGGGTCGTTGAGCGGTTGGTTACCTCGGAGCTCCTTTGTTTGTGTCCGGGACTGTAAGCTTCTTGATTGCGCGTGAACCGTTCGTCGATAACCAAGCGCAGTATTTCCAGAGTTGGAGAAATGAGGTTTGACAGAAAACCGAGATGTTGTGACGAAAGGATGGCCTGGTGGCTGCGGGGCTAGCCGAGAATGGGGCTACCAGGTATTACCATATTAGGCATATCTCATGAGCTAAAACGACAATAAGAAATGCATGTATAGACATGCCACCTTGAGCTGAACCGAGGAAGAATAACACTCGGTATCTACGACCCACGGACAGTTCACAACTTATCAAAAATTATCTCACCGTATCAACATGTCTTCTTCCGTTCGCTATCAGTTTCTCCCCGGCCCAGTCGGGGAGATGCTGCGCTCCGCATCGCTTGCCACTACGGCATCCATTTCGATAACTGGTACCCTCGTCATAACAACCGGACATGTTGGAGTGAACCTGAAGACCGGGGAACTCGTCACTAGCTCCGTGGAGGAAGAGTTCAACGCAGTCTTTGACTGTATCGACGCCGCACTCCGAAACGCCGGAGTGAGCAAGGGCGTCGGTTCAGCCCACAAGTTGATCGCATACTTTACTCGTGCTGAAGACGAGGCAACTATGTTAGCACTGCTCCGCAAGCGCTGGCCGGGTCATACCCCTACCTTGACGTCGGTGGTGGTTGCGGCTCTCGTCAACCCCGGAATGCACTTGGAGCTTCAGGCAGAAGCAATCGCAGACTAGGAGGCGAATATAGGGTGTATGGGTGGAGTGGCGAGAAGGTTCGAGGCACAGTGGTCGTTCGTCTGGGATAGCTGTCACAAAAGGATTGCCAGGGGTCAAGGATGGACAGCCATGGGTTTGGTTCTGCGGCAAGAGGCAGGTGGCTTAGGTCTTTTAGCCAAGTCTGTACATTTCAACCAACAGGGGCACAAGATGAATGAACTGCATGGTACGGGTAACTTGATTCCATTCTAGAATTGGTCTATGGTGATCTCTTTTGTGCCTGTCATGGTGAAATCAACAACTACCTCTAAGCCCGGTCAGGCATGTTTCGGTAAGGGTTGTTAGGATCAGCCATCTCCTCCTCAACCGACTGAATAGTCTTGACCACCTTTGCAGGGGCACCAAGAGCGATGGAGTAGGGGGGCAGACTCTTGGTAACCACAGCGCCAGCGCCGACAGTACATCCTCGTCCAATGGTGACCCCTGGTAGGATCACAACATTGCCTCCGATCCAACAGTCATCCTCGATTCTAATAGCGTGTCCGAACTCGACAAACTTTATGCGGGAGAGGACGCTGGTCTCATGACCCGCAGTGTAGATGTGGATGTTGGGGCCCATCTGGACACGATCGCCAATGATGACGAGGCTGGTGTCCAGGATGGTTAGGCTGGTCAAAGTTTTTAGTCAAGACGTTGCAAACAGGTGATCTGGGGGTTGCTTACCCGAAGTTGAAGAAGCAGTTCTCACCAATGGAGACGTTGGAGCCGTAGTCAGGCGCAAAGGGCGGCTCAATGAAGGTTCCTGGGCCGACCTTTCCGAGCATGCCAGAAAGCATCTCGAGTCTCTTGGCGGCAATCTCTTCGTAGTTGCCGGTATTGGGATCTAGGTTGTTGAAGTTGTATGCCACGCAGCGAGCCTTGTGGCGACCCTCCAACAGCTTGGGGTGTAGTGGGTTGTAACTGCAAGGATGTAACCCCCGAGGTTAGACAGACGTGAAAGTTGCATGGGCCATAACAAGACGTACAGCATGCCTGAAATCATCTTCTCATACTCATCACACCAAGGAGTACCCTGTAGCCCCTTGGCGAGCTCAATGATCTCGGGATCCAACTGCTGCTTGGCCATGATGAAAGATAGTGACTGTACGGGGAGGAGGAGATAGGACTGGTGATTGTGTAATTTGAAGGTTTATCGGGTCAAAGGCGACATGTATCTATCGAAAGATATCAAATATTGCTTGCCTCCTTATCCGATGCGGAGCTGGTGAGGGTACTTGCTAAGGTGGTTGGAGAGTTGAGGTTGGCTTTGAAGCGCGGAGAAGTCGGACGCGGTGAGACGTTATTACCGCATTAGGAATTACGAGATGCGGCTTCCCCTCTCGTGGGATCCGCAGTGGAGACCGTGACCCGCACAGTGTTGGACCGGCATCAAGACCGTGCAGACGTTATCGCTGCTGAAATCTTGAAGCCGTGGGTCAAGGATCACGGCAGAGATAACCGGTCCTGCCATGGCCAGCCCTTCCCCGCGTTTCCGGGCCATGTTGGCTGTGGGGGAGGGTCCCCGGGGTGCGGAGGAAAGGGCGTTTCGGCATTGATAGGAGATTGTAGAGATGGTTCAAGGCCGAGATTGCCCAGTACTAATAAAACTCGTGAAGATAGCCCGGCTCATTTTTACTTAAAGGTCGACGGCGTGACCCTGTCGCAACCTTGTTCCATCCTCTTTCGATCCCATCATTCTTCCCAAGTCTTTGGCCATCTCCTTGTTTCCTTCAACTCAGTACATCATCATGGCTCAGAACACCGTCGGCGAGGACATGGCCAAGGTCAAGTCCCATGCCACCAATGACTCAGATGTTGGCATTGGCAGGGTCGAAGACATGCGTGGCGAGGTCTTGAAGGGAGATGCCGTCGACGACAATATTCTCCTCGCTCAGGGCCATGTCCCTGTTATGAGGCGTTCTTTCAATCTTCTCGGAACTTTGGGACTGGGCTTCAGGTAACCTCGTCCGTCCTCGCGAACCGATTGACTCAGACTTAACCGTTGTCTAGTATCACTAATTCATGGGTTTCGTATGCCAGCTGCTTTGGACAGAGCTTGCTATACGGAGGACCCCAGGCCACAGTCTTCGGCCTGATCGTTGCCTGCGCCGTTCAATGGATCATCATTCTTGGTCTTGCTGAGCAGGCCTCGGCTTTCCCGTCATCAGGAGGTCAGTGCTTCTCCCTCATCTTGGAATCTGCCGGCTGACCGATCTCCTTACCACACAGGCCAATACCACTTCACCTACATCCTGGCTCCCGAAAAGCACCGACGATTCGCTGCCTTCGCCGTCGGCACCATCAGCGTCCTCGGTTGGTGGGTTATCACCTGCTCGGGCATCTCGAATAACGTACAATGCATCATCGGCATGATCTTGTTTGTCAAGCCAGAGTATGAGCCGCAGAACTGGCACTCCTACCTTCTATACGTGGGACTGATCCTGATTACGCGTGAGTCAACTTGGCAAAGCCCCGACGTTCCCCTGACTAACGACTTGAAGTGATCCCAATCTTTACGATTCCTCAAAAGCACCTCGGAAAATGGACCCAGGCTTGTCTTGCGCTCTCGGTTTTCGGTTTCCTCATCGTTACAGTCACCATCTTGGCCATGGCCGACGAATACAACCACCCCAGCTTTATTACCAAGTTCGACGGTACCAGTGGCTGGCCTAAAGGAGTTGCCTGGGTTATGAGCGTCGGAAATGCCATGTACGCATTTGCCAGCATGGACGCTGTCATCCATGTGGCCGAGGAGATGCACCACCCTGGAAAGGCCATTCCCAGAGCCATGTAAGAAAAACTCCAAAAGCTGCGATCTTTCTAGATACTGACGAATACCAGGAATCTCACTATGATCATTGGTTTGGTTACCTCTGTGCCGTTCATCCTGGCCATGATGTTTGTCATCAAGGATCTTGACGCGGTCCGATCGGCCCATCTTCCCAGCCTCGAGGCTTTTTACCAGGCCACTGGAAGCAAGTCGGCGGCACTTGGTCTACAAAGTCTTCTTGTGATTATTTTCTACTGTAAGCTCCTTTGGCTCTACGCCTTGGTCTTTGACTTCCGAAGCTCGTGCTTTATTGACACATTTCCAGCTTGCATGCCTAGCCAATGGATTACTTGCGGTCGCTTGACCTGGGCCTTCTCGCGAGACGCGAGTAATACCCGTCCCTATTTCTTGATCGTGAACTAACAAGTGCGGTTTTGTAGCGTGGTCTGCCATTTTCCGAGTACTGGAACCACATCTCGCCTTCTCTTGGGTTTCCCGTCCGGACCACAATGCTGTCAGTCGGATTCTGCATTCTTTATGGTCTGCTCTACATGGCGAGTAGCCAGGCTTTCAACTCGATCATCACCACGGCAGTTCTTGGAGTCAACATCTCGTACGCTGTGCCACAAGCAATCACGCTATTCCATGGCCGAGAGAACAAGCTTCCCGAGCGACCATTCAAGCTTAACAAGATTGTGGGCTATCTTTGCAACGCGTGGACACCACTTTGGGTTACCACGATTGGCATTTTCATCTGCTTCCCGAACAAAATTCCTGTGGATGCTGGTTCCATGAACTAGTAAGTTCCCACTCCGAGTCATTCCTGAGAACATCACTGACAATTAATTAGTGTCTGCGTCGTATTGGGCTTCATGGGTCTGATTCTGGTTGTCTTGTGGGCGTCTGTTCGACGCCACTTTGAGGGTCCCAACATTGACTGGGAGATGCTTAGCACCCAGTACGAGCAAGAGTCCTAGGAGCGCTGGTAATGTCAGGCCCCTTCTCGGATGGGCAAGGGCAGGGGTTTCAGTTTGGACATGTAAGATGATGACACTTCTTCGTGAGAGAACTTTGAATGGGTACTAGAGCACCCTCCCATAAGAGTTGCTGACGGGACAGAATGGCCTGTATCTTAGCAACATGTACAAGAAGCTTGAGAGCTTAGGCTCAAGGAAGCAGAGAAATTGACACCGAATTTCTGACGCAAAATGATTCTCTCGTGCACACCTTCTCGCATGATTTGCTTGCTCGGGGGGAGAGTCCGCCACCGCATTGTCTCAGGGGCCCCTTAATCTCACCACAAGCCCGGGAATCTTATGAGTTACCGGGCGCTTCCCTAGCTCGGATCTTAGGGACACGAGACTGTAAATTTTCATACCCTGTCTGTACTTCGTGACGCCTCTTCTTACACACAGCTGGTCAATGAGTCCATTTGGCAGGTTTGAGTTCCCGCATTACATTTCGCCACAATCCGCATACGATGGTTCAGGACTAAGACAACTTTTGTTGCGAAGAACTCAGAGTTGGTACGGGGATGTACAGGAGATAATGGATTGGTGGTGATAATGGCATTCGACTATTTCAAAAGGAGGGTTGAACCTGTTGAAAATGAACATAATTACTTACACATGACAAGATCGGAACGCGGTACATCACGTAAGAAGAAAAACATTTCAATTGTAGGCTTGCGTGTTGGAAGATTGTATGCAGTACCTATGATACACTAATACACGTCATTATGTGACGCAGTCGTTGGTAAGCTCAACGCTTCCTCACAGCCTGCTTGAAGCCTTCTTGTTGGAAGCGGTGATCTCACGGTGAGCAGTCTGAGCATTGAGGCTGCCCTGCTCCAAGGCGCCGTCAATTGCAGCACGCCATCCATGAGCCCAATCAGCAGAGGCGAAAAAGACATTTCCATGTCGACTCTGGAGTTCGTCCTGGTACTTTGACATGTAGCCAGGACGCCACCAAGCAGGACCACCTTTGGAGAAAGGGTCGGTACTCCAGTTGTGCAAAATCTATGGTACTGTTAGTCTTTTCTCAACAAAGAATGGCAGTGTGGACATACCAGTCGCTTGACATTCATAGGATGAATCTTGTTCAAAGCATCGATCGTCTTCGTTGCATCGTTCTCTGGGATGAAGGTGTCACGCTCATCCGCACCAAAGGCGACGACATGGACGTTTTTGTTGGGCAAAACACCGTCGCCATAGCCGTACATCAGAAGTCCGGGGAAACGCATTCCATTCCATCTCTCAAGCTCCTTGTTGCTGACGTCGGCATGGACCTTTGTCATGTGATTAACATGACCAATGTTGATGGCTTCTTGGCGACGTTGCGAGAGCGGAGGAGAGAATTGAACATCCTTGAGAACATTCAAAGGGATTGTGTTGATGATCTTACGAGCACGAAACTTGTCGCCGTTGGTGGTTGAGACAGTGGTCGGGCCATCTCCAGATGATGCCTGGACGATGGACTTGACCTGAGTAGAAAAGGCATATTCCAACCCAGAGTCAGCCGCTTCTTGAAACATGTTCTTTGCCAAAGCAGTTTGCCCATCTCGAAGCTTGTATCTCAGCCAGACGTCGGTGAAGTTGTCCGAGCTATGCATGAGGAGGGCATGTGAGCGGACCATGTCCCAAAGACTAGAGTCCTTCATGTGTCCTCCGGAAATGTGGAGAAGGAGCGAGATGAGAAGACCCTGCTCCTCAGATGTAAGCTTGTGCTTGATCTCCTCAAATCGATCGTGGCATGAGATCTGATCCCACTTCTCGACTGTAGCGCGGTCCACGATGGGGTTGTCGAGCTGAGCGTGGGGAAGCGGGCAGATGGTACGACCGAACTGGCCGTCGACATTGACAAACATGTCCCAACCCTTGGCTTGCATGGCACCGGCTTCCTCATGGCTAAGCTTTCGTGGTTCGGCTCCTGTTATCACAAGAAGGTCAGTGATGAGGAAACCATGATTGAATGAGAAGGGTCTTACCTGGCACGTTGATAGTATAGTAGCCCTTGTGCATGTCGGGGCTTCCGGTAGTGATCAGGTCCCGGTCCATGTTATATCTGGTCATTTCCCGGAACAGATATCCCATGTGGTGGGTGACCCAAGTCCCGCCCATCTCGTAAAGGAAGCCTTTTGAAGCATTGAGTGGTAATTCAAGCAATTGGAGGTATGAGACTCACCATCCTTCTTTGCGGTGTAGGTTCGACCGCCAATACGATCTCTGGCTTCGAGAAGCAGCACAGAGTGGTCTAGTGTCAAGTGTCGCTGGTTAGACTAGGGATGCAGGCACAGGAAGTCAGAGCACTTACTCAAGAGGCTCAAGTCGCGCGCTGCAGCAAGACCCGCATATCCGGCGCCGATAACAACGACGTCGTAGACCTTGCTCGCATTGCTCAGGGAACGGGCAGGGGAGATGACAGCATCGCTCTCAATTCCGGTCTTGAAGCCAGTGTGAGGCTCCCACACGTGGCCGTCTCTGGTCTTGGGGGTCATTTCGAAGAAATTCTGGTAATACTGCTTGAAAATGAGTCTTGGTAGTTGTCAATGGCTGGGAAAGCTTCTGTTTGGCAAGATGGAACCCAAACTGACGTATATCTGAGCTAGCTCGGTACGTAGAGCCTCTTATCGGGAACTTCCAACTTTTGCCGGACGGTGTGGGCCTCTTTTAGTCCCTTCGTCTTCGGTAAGGTCCGGCATGGGCTGCTGACACAAGTTGGAGAGTTGGCGGTCTCGGTGGTTTGATTCCTTAATGCCTTTTTAGGAAGTAAGGGATCTCCGCATTTCAGTATACCCACTTTGGGTAGTTGGCTCTATTTCCACATCGGGTATGACCTTCAATTCTCCGCATGCATCATGAGCGGAGATGACATCGGCTTCAGATGTAGATGGAAGAGCTACTTAACGCCTCTCAATGTCCGGGGTTCAAGGCTTCATAACCACTCTTGTGCAAGCGAAATTACCCCTTGTTCATCTCACACAACGTTTATCACACTCATCTTTTAGTTTCTTTCTACTCTACAGAACCATGCCTGACTTTACTGGTCTCGAGCTTACTGGCAAGACTGCCATCGTCACTGGTGCTTCCCGGTATGGCATCCTCTCGCTCAGATCACGTTGCTTTTGCTAGCTCAGCCTGAGAGGCTAATCGATACTTTGCAGTGGACTCGGTGCCGGGATCGCTATCCTTCTGGGAAAGCGGGGTGCCAATGTAGTCGTTAACTATGTGTCAGCTGGCAGCAAGGAGCGAGCTGAGAAGGTGGTCAAGGATATCGAGGCCAACGGCACCAAGGCCATCCTCTGCCAGGCCGACGTCAGCAAGGTTGAGGAGATTCCCAAGCTGATTGATGCCGCTCTCAAGATTAGCTCAACTGGCAAGATTGAGATTCTCATTCACAAGTAGGTCCATGCTTCTCGTGCAAGGGAGAGTCCAGCAGCTTACACCATTACCCTGCAGCGCCGCTCAAGGCAACGAGGCCAACTTGGTAGACACTACTGAGGAATTTTACACACGGCACTTTGATGCCAACGTCAAGGGCCCCATTTTCTTGACAAAGGCGGCTGAGCCTCATCTGCCCAAGGGTGGTCGTATCGTCTTCATTTCTTCTGCAGGAGCTCGTCTCGGTGTTGCTGGTCAAACCGTGTACGCAGCCACCAAGGCAGCCGACGAGGCGCTTGTGCGAGTCTGGGCCAAGGAGCTGGGCCAGTCTCACGGCATCACTGTTAACTGCGTCAACCCAGGCCCCATTGCCACAGGTAAGATAGGTGCAACGCAGCGTTTGGCCGAACTTTGCTGACCCATCATGACAGACCAATGGTTCCAGAGTGATGAGCAGTTCCTCAAGGACATGCAGCCTCTGATTGACTCTACTCCCGCGGCGGCGCGAGTCGGTGAAGTTAGCGACATTGCGCCTCTTGTTGCTTTCCTCTGCACTGATGATGCCAAGTGGACGACGGGCTCGGTCCTGTCGGCCAACGGTGGTCTGTACAACTAGAGTAGTTAAATAGTAAATGAAGCCACGAAGTATTTACGGCCAGTTTAAAAGAAGATGAAGCGCTGGTTTTTTAGGGCATGCAGTAATAAAATGAGGCCTGTGCAGGGGGTACTCACTGTCGAATAGGGCCTAGCCAGATGATTGTATCGCAAAGTCTCCATCCCAAGACAACCCCAGATGATCGCCGTGAGAGCCGAATATTCCTGCCATACCCTCCATCATGCGCATATCTCAATTGCCCAATCGTCGAGTTGGTGTTGTAGCTTAGTTCGCCCATGACTCGACCTTCCCGCACTCTAACTCTCCAACCCGGATCCATTATCCGCCACTCGAATGCGCACTGTCTCGCCCTAAATGTAGAAGGGTTGGCCTAATGGGACTTTAGTGGATCATGCCCGTTTTCCTCTCCCCACGCTTCCCGACCTTCCCTCCTCTTTCCCTGCTACTCTTCTCCAACTCCATCATTCGTCGATCACGATACCTTCACCAGCCATGTCGCAGCCTCAAGCTCAAGCTCAAGCTCAAGCTCAAGTCAAGCCTCGCGAATTCAAGTTCGTCGGAGCTTTTAGTCGCAAGCGACGCCGTCGAAACGGTACTGGCCCAACTGGGCCGAAGAGTACAACTGCAGTGGCCTCGACTCCCCGAAGTGCACCTACACCCGCCGCGCCAAATTCCAGCCCTAAAGTTGCGGATGGAAAGGAAGAAAACAAAGCCAAGTCGCAGCAGGGATCTCCTCCTATTGTGACGCATGCACCCGATGTTCAAGTTCCACCACCAGACACTCCCATGATATGCGAAGAAACCGCCAACCCAGTCGACAGCGAGATGATGCTGCAACCCGTCACCGAGAGCATGAACCAAGGAAACGACATAGACTGGTCCTACTCGAGCTTGATGAACCCATTCTTTGACCCAGGCCCGTCCTTTGCCGCTCCCTTTGACCATATGAACGGGCATCAACAGCTGCCCCTTTACTTTGGTCCCGACATCCCTTTTGTGCAGTTGGATGAAAGCTCCTCTGCCGACAACTCTCCTCAGGACAACTTCATCGGACCCAATCTGCCTAACGAGAGCAGCGGAGCCAATGTTGAATGCGATGCCGATGGGCAGCCTTCAACAATCGACGAGATTGTCTTGCCATCATTGAGCTCCCAGGAAGCTCCTTGCAACATTAGCCTGACTATTACCCAACTACTAACGCGGTGTGAGTATTCTGCTTTTGCCACAAGTCTGATCGCCCTTCTGACAGAGGATAGATGATCAAGAATTTTGCGTCATGCCCTTGACACACGATTTCGACGCCAACCCTTTCCGATTCGACGCTGAGACTGGACGAGGCTCGCAGCTCCTCCTTCACTGTATTCTGGCTCTTTCCTACAAACACATAAATCGCGATACCGGCTCTTGCGCCAGCGAGGCTAAAATGCACAAAAAGAAGGCTCTCCAGATGCTTAGGGACATGGAGGGCACTTCGCAAGCATCGCCAATTGAAGCGACCTTTCTTGACGCCGTGTTGATTCTCATGACATTGGACGCAAGTTCTCCTCCAAAATATCGGTCAGATAGTCCATGCTGACAATTTCCAAGTGCGCAACTTCGGCTCATGGACCATGGACTTGGTACTTGAAGCGTGCCCACAAGATGATACAGGCCACAGAGGCTCTGAACATCAAAAAGACTCCACGAATGCAAGCACGCATAGAGATGCTGGTCTGGTAATTCTCCCCAGTGGCATAGAGATGGGCTTTGAAATTTGCTAACTGTTTAGGTGGGATGTAACTCTTGCCCTCACCAGCCGCCAAGGATGCGTTCTATCCGAGTCTACGATAATCAGCCTCTTCAACCATGACAAGTCGAGCAACGAGACATTCTACAGCGTATCCGGGTGTCCAGAAGCCCTTTTTAGACACATGATCCGTTTGGGATCGTACGCAAGAGAGTTTGAACTCGTGGCCAACATGACGTGTGTAAAGTTTGACATGGGGCCAGTGCTGGGTGTGGAAAAGGAAATCAGGGATTGGGCGGATCCTGAGAACGGTGATCTCCCTGATCAGATTGTCGCCGATACTCCCCCTTCCGAAGGATGTGACATCGGAGAGGTTGCTCACTACAAGGAAGACCTTCATCACTGCGCAGAAGCTTGGCGATATGGCCTCCTCATCTACATATGCCGGGTGTTCAAGTGGCAGCGTGACCAACCGGCACCGCCAATCCTGGGTTTCCTCGCACGCAAGACGCTTAATCATGTCACATCCTGTAGATACAGCTCCATGCTCCAGAAGCAGTTACTTCTTCCTGTGTTTCTCGCTGGCTGCGAGACAAAGGACGAGCATCTACGTCAGGTGGCCAGGACATACTGCAGCTGGTGGAATGAGCGGACTCGCTATGACATGTTCCTGACGGCCAACGCTCTGCTCGAGGAAGTATGGTCTAACGAGACCCCCAACGCGTGGTGGGGATCGATCATTGACCAGAAGAGCCGGTCCAATGTTGGGACGGGAGATGCCCGTCAGTATTTGTTCGGTTGATCGTCGTTCGTTCGGAGTTGGAAGGGTCGGCGCAGGACGTGCATTTGGGGGGGTGGAATGGAAGGTTGCTTGCTCTAGCTTCTTAGTACGAATCGATTCTTTTTCAGCTGTTCACTTCGTCTTCGCATCGTTGTCTCTCACCAAGTCATCGCGAAGATCCTGTTGTCGTAATAGTGCATTTGACAGGACAGGGTCGACTAACCTCAACCACCAGGCTGGAGGCCCCCCTCATATTTGCCTGTCAAGATTGATGTTGGAGATTACGTGGCAAACTTGCGTTGACCTGTGGTAATTCTCAAGGACGGGAATATCATCATCACAGGCGCGATGAAGGGATGGGGCATACAGCCGTGTGTTGGAACTGCGAAAAGAAAAGGAAGAAGAGAAGAAAGCTGAAATCGGAGATTAATCTGGGACGTTGAGATTTTATTGATTTCTGATTTCTTTTTTTTGGCAATGCCTCCTGCAATGCTCCCATCTGCCCTTCCGGCCACGCACACGCTGATTTGCCAGAGCTGAGGCACGTTTCGGGAAAAAGGAACGGCCCTTGCATAGCAAACACTCCAGGCATACCGTAATTGAGTGCGAGACCCTCGATCTATCCGGTTCATCGTGCTCCGGGGGCGTTCTGGCGTGCCTCATTGATCCATGTTCTTCCAACTAAGGTCAAGACCACCACTGAATGGAGAAATGAGTAGCGGACGAGCCATCTGTTGCCGGTTTGGAAACTATCCCCTAACCAAGAGAAACCTCTAGGGAGTAGTTATCAGATCAGGGTAGCTCAACACCAAGCTGGGAAGTTCGCGTTGTTCAGCGAAACCATACCAGCTGTCGTCGCCCCTCGCGAGCTGCGTTTGGAGAATGAGTTGGAAACACATCTCAGAAAGGTCTTTTCATGGAAGAGGAAGGTAGTGCGCAATTTCAATGTTGGCAAACACTCCGAAGCAGGCAGCTTGAGGCAAAATTTGCCTCTTTGGCCAAAGATACCGGATCGCCCATTCCACCAACTTCATCAGGAACTTGCTTGACAACGGCCGAGGCAAATACGGCGGCCGTGCCGATGAGTCCGCTCTTGGAAGTCGAATGGATGTGACCGCGTCGGTCTCGGCAAAATGAGCGTGGATCAGTGGGCCATGGCGTCGCGCCCCCCCAAGACACAGTAAGGGGTGATGTCAAGATCACAATTACCCAAATAGGAAATACGCAAGATAGCTCAACCACAGATGCCTCACCTGGTGTTCTTGCTAAGAATCATCGGCAAGTAAGTAGCCAAAGTACCTGAACGAGGGATCATCTACTTAAGCAAGGCATAGGTCATCGCACATAATCATTCCCGACAACTCAAGTCATATTCATTAGCCTCATCCAACTCCCCCATCTTTGTCCATCCAACCTCGCCTACAAACAACACCAACAAACCAGCCACAATCACCAGAAATGGCTACCATGGACAAGGTTTTCGCCGGCTACGCCGAGCGACAGGCCGTTCTCGAGGCTAGCAAGAACCCGCTCGCCAAGGGAGTTGCTTGGATCCAGGGTGAGCTCGTGCCCTTGCACGAAGCCCGCATTCCTCTGCTCGACCAGGGTTTTATGCACAGCGATCTGACATACGATGTGCCCTCCGTCTGGGATGGTCGATTCTTCCGCCTTGAGGACCACCTCAACCGTCTCGAGGCCAGCTGCAAGAAGATGCGCCTTAGGATGCCCCTTCCCCGAGAGGAGGTTATCAAGACCTTGGTCGACATGGTTGCCAAGAGTGGCATCCGAGATGCCTTTGTCGAGTTGATTGTCACCCGAGGCCTGACTGGTGTACGAGGTGCCAAGCCCGAGGAGCTTCTGAACAACAACCTTTACATGTTCATCCAACCATATGTCTGGGTTATGGACCCTGATGTTCAATACACTGGAGGTCGCGCTATTGTTGCCCGAACTGTCCGCCGTGTCCCTCCCGGCTCTATCGATCCTACCATCAAGAACCTTCAGTGGGGTGACTTGGTCCGTGGCCTGTTCGAGGCTAACGACCGAGGAGCTACCTACCCCTTCCTTACCGATGGCGATGCCAACCTCACTGAGGGCTCCGGCTTCAACGTTGTTCTCATCAAGGATGGCGTCCTCTACACTCCCGACCGTGGAGTTCTTCAGGGTATCACCCGAAAGAGTGTGATTGACGCTGCTCGATCATGTGGCTACGAGATCCGGGTTGAGCACGTTCCCATCGAGGCGACCTATCAGGCTGACGAGATCTTGATGTGCACAACTGCGGGAGGTATCATGCCTATTACTACTCTGGATGATAAGCCAGTCAAGGATGGAAAGGTCGGACCCATCACCAAGGCTATCTGGGACCGATACTGGGCCATGCACTGGGAGGATGAGTTTAGCTTCAAGATCAATTATTAGGCTGTTGATATAGTGTGTCAAAAATAGAATAAATGCATGTTCCAAATAACTTTGATCAAGCAAAAACTTTCTACTGGCGATAATAGCTCCGGTCTAAATGATCTCTATGTGCATCTAGCCTAATAGGCAAATTGCTTCAGCCGAGACCAGCCCTCTTCCACACAGACTTCCGTCAAGAGTTCGACTGAAAGCTTTCCTCTTCCTCGAAACTACATCTCGGTCTTGGTATCTGATTCTAAACAGTTGCATTTGCCAAATCGGAGCAATTGAGGCGATCTGATTCGGCAACAACTGCCTGAGCGACATCTCGGTTGGTTGAGAAACTCCGTTTGCGATCTATCAGGATACGTTCCACAGTGGCGTATGTTCTCTCAGTCCTATTGTAAACAGATTAACTCCAACGGGAAATAACCCTGGTTGCAGGATAAGAGCCCATCTAAGCTAAGAGAATAGAGTAAGTGTCAAGTGGTGTCAAGTGGATGGTGGTGGTGGGTCGGGCTTCTCCGAATGTTGACTTCCCCTTTCGGGAAATAGGACCAGTGGCAACCTCCGGATCATGCGAGCTAAGGAGTCTGGGAACATGGAGATTGGAGATATCGTTCAGAATATGGTCCTACGCAGGGAGCATTGTGCCCTTCAAATGCAGGCGCTTGCCGTGACAAAAGCTCTATGTCAGTGACTTAAGTGGGCAAAGAGCTATAGTTCCCAATATCTAAACACTCCATAATTACGGCACTTACTCTATCATGTCTGCACACGATAGCATTGTCATTCTTGGGTAAGTTGCACAGTCGAGATGGCAAGTTCATGATTGGCTCACCCGATGTAGCGCGGGCATCATCGGCCTTGATGTTGCCCTGGTCCTTGCGGAAAGAGGCTATGGCCAGTCTATCACTGTCATTGCTGAGCACCTCCCTGGTGATACCGCCCTGGGCTATACCTCGCCATGGTGAGCAGTATCAACTATGCACTAGAATGAGACATGAACTAATGACTCTAGGGCTGGTTGCAACTTTTCCGCCATCTCAGGCACAGACGCCAACGCCTTGAGATGGGACAAGCTCGGGTACTTTCACTTGAGCAAGCTGGCTTCTGAAAGGCCTGAAGAAACCTATGTTCGACGGACACCATCTACCGAGTTGTGGGATGACAATGTTCCTCATGACAAGATCAAGGCCATGTCTGAGTACCTCGAAGATGTAAGGCTCACATGAGATCCAGCGGTGTCTTTACTGACCAAGTCAAGTTCACGCCGCTGTCTGCTGAACAGCTGCCTGAGGATGTCAAGTTTGGTGCATCATTCACAACACTAACAGTCAATGCTCCCAAGCATCTGCTCTATCTCTACGAAAGGCTGAAGCAGGACTACGGCGTCCGGTTCATTCGACAGAAGCTTCCCAATCTTCAAGCAGCCTTCTCCAGTCACTCCACTCAGATTGTCTTCAACTGCACTGGAAACGCGGCCAAGTCACTTCCTGGAGTCGAGGACACCAAGTGTTACCCAACACGGGGCCAAGTTCTTTTGACGCTTGCTCCTGAAGTGCAGACAAACATTATGAGACACGGCAAGGACTACGAGACCTATGTCATCCCTCGGCCTTATTCCAAAGGCCATGTGATCCTTGGTGGATATATGCAGAAGGGAAATGGGTATGTTGTTTGAGATGTTGAACCTGATCACAAGCTGACCAGCTCCCAGAGACGGCGCCACTTACTCGTACGAGACCGAGGATATCCTGGATCGTACAAAGGAGCTAAGTACTGAGGTCCGAGAAAGTGACATCGAGGTCATCGCTGCATTTTCTGGATTACGACCTTCTCGTGAGGGTGGTGCTCGAGTGGAACGAGAGGACCTGTCTATTACTGGCCAGAAGCGTACTGTCATCCACAACTATGGGGCAGGCGGTACTGGATTCCAGGCTGGCTATGGAATGGCAGTTGATGCCGTCAGCGCTGCTGAGCCCCTGCTGTCCGAGATTCGAGCCCAGTTGCGATCCAAGTTGTAATTTTTAGCGAAAAGGCTTGTCAGTTTTACGCGAGGGAGGCTGCTTTGAAGTAAGCCTCAAAAAGATACGGTTCAAGTGCTTCAAATAATGTGGTTGCGGCAGCGACTACGTATATACCGATTAACATTCGTTCTCCCAATACCCATTCTGTCCCGCTATCTCATGCAGCTGTGAATGATTCAACCTTGATTGAGCCGCCGAGTGCCTGCGTAGCATAGTTGAAGATGCCGAAGCGGTAGGCAATGAAGAATGCCCAGCCATTGTACAGCTCGTAGTTTGGGCCGAGTTTCTCAAACTTACTTCCGTCCCAGCTGTAGGAGAAAACGGCGTTCCGAGACCCCGTAGGGCTCGTGTCCAACTCGGCGCGCAACCACACCTTTGTCTTGCCCTCTGCTACGTCCACCGTGGCCTTGACCTCGCCCAAACTCTTGGTCTCCCCTGACCACTCGTCAATTATCATTCCTTGCGCGACTGCGAGGGTGGATTTGCCGTTGGATCGATGGATGCCGATGTAGGCGCTCTGATCACGGAATGCTGCCAAACCTGCTCGGTCGCCATTGGCCAGTTTGCTAAAGTCAATCTTGACGGTGCCGACAGGGTGATTTCCATGGGTTCTATGAGTCAAAGTATTCCTCGCTGAGTATATATCGTTGGTTACGCTGGCCGTGCGAAGAGTCAAGCCATTGTTGATCTCGTAGGAGTTGACGTCGGGATTATGGTTCCACTCCCAGGACGGATCAAGTGACGTGCCCTGGAAACGATCCGTCCGTCCCCAATTCTTGGTGAGGCCATTGCTGCCGGAAGGAAGCGGGTATGAGGCTCCCCAGCCACCATTAGAACCAGTCACGAGGACTGGGAAACCATCATCGCCCCAGCGAATTGGGGCCAAGACGGGAAGACGACCAGCAGGGTATGCCCAGGTGAAGGACATGAAGTACCACTCGCCTGCAGGAGTCTTGATCAGACTTCCCTGGTGGGGGGAATTGCCACCGCTGAGCGGGGGTGTGATGCCTATGGCGAGGTTCTTGGATTTGTAAGGGCCGAAGGGGTTATCAGACTTCCAGATCCAAGTTGCCGCGGTATTATGATCATCGTTCAGTATGTAATACTGACCATTGATCTTGTACATGCGGTTTCCCTCTAGACCTTCAACCCCAATAGAAGTGTTGTTCAGGACTTGCTGAGATTTCACTTCACTAAGGCCGTCTTTGGAAAGCTGAGAGACTCGGACGTTGTTTGACCCCCAGACGACATACATTGTGTCGTCATCATCGATCAGAATGCCATTGTCGTAGTAGCAAGTCCCGCCCGTTGCAAGCTGCGCTGCTTTCTTCCAGGGTCCGGTTGGGGATGGAGAAGTGAAGACCCAGGTGTTCCAGAAGTTTGTGCAGCCGATCCAGTACCACAGCTTATTGCTCTCTCGGTATCTCAGCGATGATGCCCAGGTTCCCCCTCTATAAGCGCGAGTGTCGCTGTTGGGAAGATCATAGCCGTCTCCAAACTCTAAACGTGGGATAGAATGTCCGATAAGATCCCAGTTGATGAGATCTTTGGAGCGAAGAATGGGAGCCCCCGGGCTGTAATGAAAGTTGGACGCAGAGAAGTAGTAGAGCCCATCGGGTCCCAGGAAGACATCATTGTCCGGGAAGTCAGAATAGATGATGGGGTTTTGGAAATTCTCGGCTCTCGCGGCATGCGTCGGGGTCGTGACCACTAACGGGATGGTGGAGGCAACAAGACCTAGAAATAGTACAAGCGACTTCATTCTGAGGTGACTAGCTGATTGACGCTTGTCCTGTGCTGTCCCGCAAAGGGGTAGTTTGGCTTTATATCACTTGTTGTCAGGGTATGGCCTCTTGTATTATGTAGGTTACATCCCCGGGTATTCTGGATAAATCCTCAACAAGACACTTTTTCCTAACAGTTTCGGGGTTCCTGACGCTAGAATAGGCAAACGAGCCCGGCCGCAACCCAAGGAAATGCTGGAATTGAGGTTAATTCATGCATGATTACCATACCGTAGCGAGAAGGTTGGGTTTCAAATGGTGGAATTCTCACGCCACGGAGCGATGAGTTCCGCCAAACGGAGACAGATGCTCCGACTTCCCTAGAAGCGGCTAAAGGCCCGCGATAGAATGAAACGTACCTCATGGCAGCTGGTACCACTTAACAGGTGACTACGCTCATACGAGAAAAGTGGTACGGCCAAAATGATCAAGTGAGATATACCTCGCGATGACGGGGATAACTTAGGGCTAGATTTCTGACAGAGACAAAATTGATCGTTATACACCTGACATCTAGTAATGATACTCTATAATTATAAAATTCTTTGCTTGGAGTAGAATGACAATGACAAAGCACCCTTAGACAAGTGCTGGGATGGACCTGTTTGCAGAACTAAGCACAACACCGAGCTTGTGCACATAGTTGAATTCCTCCTCAATGAGATCGTTCTGAACCCATATTCTTTGAATCATCATCTTGATAGAGCCCGGGTTCCGAAAGTGAATACTCCTCTCTGTTCTTGAGATAAGGTCAAGAACCATGGCCCGTTGATCATCGGTTCGCGCCTCGCAACCAAGTATCAGAAGAGGGAAAGGCCGTTGGCAATGCTCCAACTGTGAAAGTATTTCAAAAGATCGTTCAATCCATTCCGGAAGACGTGATCTCTCCTTGGGATTGTCTGGTGACGCACGTTTGAGGTAAATCAGGGTCGCCAGCTGGTAGAGTTCGACTGCTTTGTCGGAATCCGATCGTGATCCGTCAGTTAGAGTATTATTATCGTCGGTTGAGATATCGATCTTCCGTAGTTTCCATTCTAGGAGTTTGAGATATTGTTGGTAGTCATGCGTGTGGAAACGTGGGTCTGAAGGTTCAACAACGGCATCGCACACTTCGGACAGGAGGTATAAGACCTCGTGCGGAGGGCCTACTAGATGTGCGGGCTGTATCACGTGTAAGATTAGTAAAACTTGACAGGAGGGAGGAGTAGATGAAACCTACCTGGACCTCTGCGCATACTGTAGGTCGAAAGGGTTCGAAATGTGCTCCTATGGGCGATCCTGTACCTTCCAAGAGATCTGGTTGCCAGTGACGCAGGCTAAAGCGAGCCAACACGTCAGAGTAATGGACCCAGCCAATGAGTGTGGTCATGTCGTTGCTTCCGGTAATCTCGTCGAGTTTGGCGTTCTTGATGATCAGTTTTGAGCCGCATACATACCACAGCCAGTGACTTGAGGCCGCCGACATCTGGTAGATCTAGGAAGTATTAGTCTGTGTCTATGGCACACTAATACATAGGATGCATACCTCTAGAGTGCAGAGGAGCATCCCTGCAGCAACATGACGAATGGATTCATCTGCGCCAATGACACCCTGGGTAGATGCTGCTAAGGCCCGAAGAGCCGCGATTTTGAGTCTATCTGCATGAGAGTGGTCTCTATCTCGATGGTATGATGCCAGGGCTAATGCAGACTTGAGTATTGCGGTTGCACACGGCGAATTGTCGGAGAGAGCCATGCGAACGAGGACCTCGCGGATCTTTGATGCGTCATGACCAAATGCCATAAGGGAATATGATGCCTGGTACACAACTGTCTTTTGTTAGTTTTAAACAAATACTTGGTTCTGATCGAGGCAACTGACAGTATTCGAACAAACCCACTTGCACATGGTCCAATCTTCCACTGACCAAAGATATCGCAGGGCTGAGAACTGGCTGAAAGACCTGCATGGATTCTGTTGGTTGGTTTTCGAGATTATTCAAGATAAGCTGTCTCATAGTGGGATTTTGCCCAGACGTTGCATAGCCAAAATCGACGCCAGAGATCAGAGCGTGCATCTCTATGTCCCCAGTGGAAGTGTTAACAAAGTGCCGTGCGTCATATCGGCGCCTTTCTATAGGTGCAGGCCCAATTACCGCACGCCGAGCATCACCCTCACGCGGCCAAGACAGTCGAGTCCCGTAACCATCACACCTTCGGCCTGCTCTGGCACAACGGGTGCAGGTTGGGAGTGTCCGATCACAGAGCACCTTGCGGTCTAATATGGAATGTCAGTGGAGCTCGGCAACGTTTCAAAACTCGGCTGCCGAACCTCTGCAGGTCATACACCCTCGCTGAGACATGAGGGATTGAGGGACTGGGATATAGCGATGACTGTTGGTTCAATTTTGAGTTCACAGACAATGCCTGCATGAAGGATGCAAAGGGTGCGGCACAGAGTTCCAGTGCGAACCAGATGCAGCCCTGTCGGTTTTATCGCTCGCAAAAAGTTGCCCCCGAGGACCAGTTATCTCGGCGCTTCTCTGTACGGATTTGTCATTTCGAGATTTGTGAGCTGGCGTGGTGAAGAAGTTGTAAGCAGCCACCCACGCTGACATGTTTTTGGCTTCATGCGGGGGAAGCTGAAATCTGAATCGAGGGCAACTTTGAGCGAGCTAACCATCACGGCGCAAGATGATTGGTCGGCAAGATCTAGCGTCATGGACCAACCCCAGTTGCTAGAACCATATGGTGATGATGCTGGAATTCGTCAGTCATCAAGAGTTAAGCAAGCGGGTGACAAAGCATAATATGAATTGAGTATATATATGTAGGAGAGAGGGACTGTATAGATATCTTCTTGCATTCGCCATCTTCAGCAAAAAGCAAGCTTCTCTTCAACCAGCACTCCACCAAACTCCGCTATCACCACTCTCACACAATGGCTTCGTATCTGGTCACAGGGGCATCCCGCGGTCTTGGGGTGAGTCGGGTTCATCGCTCTGCCACGAATGGAATTAACTTATAATCCTCCAGTTCGAGTTCCTTCGCCAGTTGTCTGACAAGTCAGACAACATCGTCATCGGTCTCGTCCGCAACAAACAGGCCACAGTCGAAAAGATTGAGCGCGAACTCTCTGCACGGAAAAATGTGCACATCATCCAGGCCGACATTAACGATTACGCGGCCCTGAAGGTAAATGCTCCTGTTCTGACTTCATGGACGCGCTAACATGGTATGGCCAGGCTTCCGTTGATGAGACTTCCAAGATTACTGGTGGAAAGCTTGACTACATCGTTGCAAATGCAGGCCTAGTCTCTCCTTGGTCCGCTTACGACCCTCTCAGTGTTCTGTAAGTCAATTTTTTCACTCCAGGCACTGAGACTCTTCTGACTGCTGCACAGAGGCGAACAACCTGAGAAGCTTGAGGAGGACTTGATCGACTCATTCAAGGTCAACGTGGTTGGCAACATCCATCTGTTCAACCTTTACGTACCGCTCCTCCTCAAGGGACAAGCCAAGAAGGCCATTACCCTATCTACGGGCATGGCCGACCCGGATTTCGTGACCCAGTTTTCCATTTCTGTTTCAGCACCCTACTCAATTAGCAAGGCCGCCGTCAACCTAGCTGTTGCCAAGTTCGATGCCCAGTACAGAAAGGAGGGCCTACTTTTCATGGCCGTTTCACCAGGGTTGGTCGATACAGGCCACTACGATGAAGGTCAGATATCTCCAAAGCCCGTTTGCAAAGGTCACGCACTGACAGCTTAATAGCGACGGAGGAACAGACCCGGAAAGCGGGTGAAATGCTGCAGCAGTTTCAGTCCTACGCGCCTAGCTTCACGGGGCCCATAACACCCGAGGAGTCCGTCACTGCAGTCTTGTCTGTGCTGCACAAGGCCAGCATCGAAGCTGGCAATGGCGGCTCATTTGTGTCTCACTTTGGAAATAAGCAGTGGCTGTGATGGTCGCTGACGTTCAGGTACTGGCGGAATAGGGTTGGAAGTTATATTAGAAAGTTATGCTGTCTTGACGTTAGACGGCTAGCTTCTGCCCCTTCCAGTGCTTCCGTAGAAGTTCAAAAGTCGTGCTATAAAGGCCCAATATCACCTATACTTGTTCTTGTTCCATGAAAGGCCCTATCAAGTCCAGGAACTCTCCGCTGAGAATGTCATCCGCATAAAATGGTGCCATTGCAGGGTCGTTCTCATTAGACTCGCGATCGCGCGTCCGGTCTTCCAACATGGACGCAAGTTTAGTGAAAACAGTCGGCGGGCCATCTTCGTGTATTCCAGCTTCCGATGCTACACGCCTCAAATTTTGACAAATCTTTTCGTCCTTGCAAACCACGGTCTCGGAGGAAATAAGTCCGTAGCCTTCTAATGGAAGGCACTTTGCGACCTTGCGAAAAGACAAAGCCGTGTGCATCACCTGGTATATCGAGGCCAATGAAAAGCCAGTGTATTGATGTGGTTGATAGGTAAAGAGCACATTAAAGTACGACTCAAGTGCTCTGAATGAAGCATGTAAGTCAGTCAATTCATCTTGTGAGGTCAATGATGGCCTCGGAAAAGCATCCGGAACTGCAAATTCGTTGATCGCAAATGTGGCATAGTGAAGATGACATAGGACAACTAATCGATTTTAGAGAGGGTTATCATAGGAAATTTCAGGGTGCTTAGGTTCTTACCTGGGTCCTGCGATAAGGAAGCAGTTTCATCTCTTATTTTATCCAGGTCCATCCGTAGCACACCAGCAACCCAAGCTGGTGGTATGTTGGATGACTGCATTCGATCTCGGTTGCGGCCATCGGCTGGTGAGTAATAGGCCTTCTCTAAAACTCTGCGTATTTTGACAAGAGTGACAAGAGTCAAGCTATCAGGACTGTTGCTTTCCTCGACCAGGTCCTCTAGGTATCTACTCATCTCACTTGTCCAGTGGAGTCGGTCGGCCTGATGAAGGTACGATGATATGCTGCCAGTCCAATGATTAGGCACCTTGACTTTTGTAGCCTGAAATTGACTTACACTGAACTCAAGAAATAACAAGCAAGAACAGCTCGCCTCTCCTCGGATGTGCGAGCATGGAGTGCCCATGGCTGATGAAACCTAAGCTCAGAACTGCCTTCAGCTGTGGTGGGTGGTGCCTTGTTCAAACCAAGATCGAAAATGATAGTGGTAGCAAGTTGGATAAACAGAGTTAAGAACGGTCGCCGCTTTACTTGCAAGTTGCCCCTGACATTGTCGTGAGCTTAGATAGGTCCAGGAACACACATTAACCATACCATGCGATACACACCAGGAGCCCTTGAAGCAGTTCAACACTCCTCTCAAGTTGAACCACCATGCTGTTTGCGATAATGCTTCGGATTTCGCCGTATAAATGTTGCTGCTTAAGCGTGGACTTTACTGAGACAGCGACAATGCAAAGCCACAGAAAGGGTTTTTCGTCCCGTAACGTGGCGGCAGAGGATTCAGGGTCAAGCGTCAAAAAAGGAAGATGAGCCTGCTTAAGGGTACAAAAGTCTCTCAAGATTTCTTGACCGTCAAGCACAAATGCGAGTGTGGCAGCGGATGAGCGCTCTTTGTAGCTGCCGGGTGGAAATGGCGGTTCTGGGGGTCGAGAGGAAGCACCCTCATCGTGAGCCGGGGCTGCATTCACCTGTTGCTGGTTATTGGACATGAGGAGGGAAACTAGTCCATCAATTTTGCTTTCAAGTTGATCACTGCGGGTAGCGTTGTCTCGTCTTCTTGCCTTCCTCCTGCGTTCCCTGCTCAAGGAATCACACTCTTTCCTGAGACGTTGACATCTGAGTCACCACGTCAGTTTGATTGGACATACTTGGGGGCCGTCCTTGGAAATCCAACCTCTCACATGATTCTCCGCCGTTGGTAGCGACACATCGGGATTTGGATCGGGAACATTGGCTACACGCCGTTCCATAGGGGGCGTGTCCAGCCTGTCGGTTTATTGATAAAATTGATTCGTAATCAGGCATCAGCTTTGAAGGGCCAAAAATCACGAGCCGTAGTAAAAGTCGGAGATGGGAGCGGCAAGTAGGAATGTTGTCGGCGTTGAGAGACAGGGCCTTCTTTTATTGGTCTTGGAGCATGGGCCGTTCCGGCGAATCGGGGTTCCGGCTGCCAAATCTCCGATCGAGGGTCGGCGTTGGGAAGTTTGAACCTCCGAACACCGATGCCGAGTTTCTGGGTGCGCTGTGAGATAGAATATATAACGGTGACAAGGAAACAGTCTCATATTGTCATCGACTCGATATTTATATCACATCTCTGACACGGCAAAGTGTCCATCATATTACAGCATACCCACCAGCAATATGATTTCCCTTCACAATCTGTCATTCTCTCTCGCCGTCCTCTTGTCCAGCTTCATCACCACGTTGTGCTCCAAGGCACCCAATTCTACTCCACGTGGCGGTTGGAATCAAGATCGACTTGGCTTTTACGCTACCCCTGCTGCAGCATTCCTGCGACGTCTGATGGCCGCAGGAGTCGGCCTCGTTCACGCATTTATTGTGCTGAAGATTTCCAGCAACAGTCTTATCTGCCCACATCCCGACAATCTTAACTGGCAACTTTTCGACTGGAACCCATATACCGTGGTGTGCCTTTTTCTAATCATCTGTGTTGGCGGGCCCCTCCGCCTCTTGGCGTTTGCTCAACTGGGAGGAAATTTCACCTTCCGCCTTGGACCACCAAGCGCTTTGACAACAACGGGTGTTTATCACTTCATGCAACATCCAGGCTACACAGGACAAATCATCGTGTTGCTGACGAACTTGGCTCTCTACTTCCGGTGGGATGGAGTACCAGGTTGTTGGCTTCCTGAGAGTGTGAACCAGAGACTGGATGGCTGTGGTTTTCTCTGCGCTGTTATCACCACCTTGGGCATTGTGCGGAGGCTATTAATGAGAACCAAGGATGAAGAGGAGATGCTAGAGAAGACATTTGGGGCTGAATGGATCAAGTGGCATCGGGATACCAAGAGGTTCGTACCTGGTGTGATCTGAAGAAATCTCAACTGAGATTACATGGACCCCTAAGCTGTTCTTTGCTCATGGACGCCTCAAGCTGTCTGTCTCTTATCATCGAGGCTCTGGTGCACAACGACCTTTGAGATGAAGGCTTTAGAAATTGTTTCGAATGCAATAAATACTTTTGCAAAGAAGGGCGAAAAGCCATTGAACATGCCATGAATACGAGAAATCCTGTGGGGCTAGGTTGTCGAGTTAACTGAATTGGAATGGTTTACAAATTGGTGTGGTTCGACACTTGTCACTATACCTAGTGATTGAGTCGGTGAATGAGTCACTGGCCGCCTATTAGACCCCCTCCACGATCTGGTCGTTTACTAGAAATGCTGGTTGCTCCCAGTTGAATTTGCCTACCAACGTTTGCTACACCACGTTGTCTTATAATCCTTAATTTAAATAAACAGACACCTTTCATCAGTCGACATGGATTACAATACGGAAGAGATCGTCAACGCCTTCCGGTCAGCCCGGCTCCAATACGTCCGAGCCGACCAATCCGACAGCAATTTGCAAGCATTTCTGCCAACAATTGAACAAGACCCCGTCATTCAGGCCATGGCTGCTCCAACAATGCTCCAACCCAAGGGCAAAAAAGCTGCCGACGGCTACCTTGAATCCGTCGTCAATTCCTTACTAGGCGTGACGATATGTCTTTTGCCTGAAGAGGAGAAGAGACTCAATCCAGAGAGCGATAAGAGCGACGCAGAACAGAAACAGACCCCAACCATCATCGGCATAATGTGCATCGGCTGGGGAGGAATCTCACCATCCGTCGCACACCACCGCACTGCGGAGATCGGTATCAGTCTTGCCAGACCATACCAAAACCAAGGCTATGGGCGGGAGGCCATCAACTGGATGTTGGACTGGGGATTCAGACACGCCGCGCTTCATTCCATTGGCATATCTACTGCCTGTTATAACCCGAAAGCTGCACATTTGTATGAGAGTATGGGCTTCAAACCGGAAGGGCGGCGAAGAGGGACAATTTGGCAAAACCGCAAGTGGTACGATTTATTGGAGTTTGGAATGCTTGAGGACGAGTGGGAAAAGCTCAGGGGTATTGCCCCTTGAGCACTACCCAGGTCGGGATGCACGACTAACCGTTAGAATGCGGGAGAGAAAAGATTTTTTTAATGCAGAAAACGGTCAATTGTCTCTGAAAAGACATTTTCTTTGGCTCGTCCTCTGATGTTGACGCGCCGGCTCATGCTGCAGACCGGGCTGACGGGTTCAGAAGATCACTACACTTCTTCCGAGCCGCCACCTCCTCCCTACTTGGCTGGGTACCCTCTTCGTTCATAGACAACCTGCCCATTTGTATTCCAAGTGCCATATCGGCGGCTGTCGCACCTTGACCACCTGCCATCCGCACGTCGCCACGGGCACCATGATCAAGAAGCAACCTCACTGCAGCCTCATTCCCCGACATAACCGCCAGGTGCATCGCCGTTAGTCCCATGCTCTGCTCAGTGGCGTCAAGCTGCTCTGGATTGTTGAAGCGTCTAAGCAACTCATTCAAAATCTCGCGATTTGCACCCCAATCGATGTCCGTCCAGTCCAGTTCAGCCGCCTCGGTCGCATCCGTTCCACGAAACTCGGCGTCGGCATGAGCAGCTGCGGCGCGGTGAAGCGCCGTCCACTGCCGAGTTGGCTCCACGATGAAATTCAGGTTGTCTCGCGTCGATGCGCTATCAAGGAGATAGCGGAGACGTGCGATTGAATTCCGCGAGTTGGAGGCGATAACATGGCCGAGGATGGTTGTAGGATTTGTCAAGGCCAGGTGGCCGCTGCCCAGGGTGGTGAAGTTGATGTCGGCGCCATGCGATACAAAGCTGTCTGCGAGCTGGAAGGAGTCGTTCTGCACAGTGATGAGCAGCGGGGACTCAGTTATGTCGAATTCGTCTGGGAGGCCGTCGAGGGGGGCGCCGTGGTCAAGAAGGGCTTGGACTAGCCGGGCATCATTTTGCCCTGCGTACGCCAAGACATGGAGAACAGTCCACGTTGAAGATTGTCCGCTGAATGGATTCTTAGAAGCTTCGGTGGCGAGTGCCCCATGCTCGAGCAGAAGATTGACCATTGCCGGACGATTCCATCGAACCGCCTCTAGTAGAGGGGTTCGCATATCAACGCCGCATGCGCGGTTGATGTCGGTCATTCTGAACGCGCCAACGTCCTGGGATTGAGGCACTTCTTCATCATGGGCTACTCCAGCTTTCATAGCGCCGACTCCGTGCTTCAGTAGGTATTCCACCAATTCATCTCGGGCTAGCGAGACGGCGAGATAGAGAAGCGTTTGGTTGAATCCACCGTAGCCGTTAATGTTGGCAACCCTGTTGGCCTTGGACAGCAGACACCTGAATGTTGATTCCATCGCTTGTTGATATTCAGGACCATGGTGGAGGATCATATCAAATAGGCAACTGCCATGAACGGCTTGCTCAAGGAGTTCCGTCACCATGAAGCCGCCGTGTTTTGCTGCGCCTCGTTCGACGTTGTATTGCTCGATGGCTTCGGTCATCAGTTCGAGACACTCTGAACGAAGGTGCGACGCGGCAATTTCCAAAGCACTATTTGCGCGAGGCCACGATTTGTTGCATATGCTCGGATCGGCTGTGTTGGACAGTAAGAATTTCACAATTTGGGGGCGGTCACAATGAGTTGCTAGTTCATACATTAGCCCATCTGATGTTCCCAACACCTGAACCAACGAGTCTCCTATTACAGAAGAGGCGATTAAGGATATGGAAATAGAAAACACTCACCCCATCCGATAGGGTAACCCTGCTGAAACCGATCGAGGTCCAATGACGCCGGAAACTCGGCTTGGTAGGCAATGGTGGTTGTCGTCTTCACGTTTGCATCCGCGCCGGCTTGGATCAGTGCCGGACCAACTCTTTTCACCTCTTCATCATCGAAGGATATGAGCCAGTGAAGTGGCGACTCTCCATTGCGTGCTGCTACCGATGCCTTTGCTCCATGCGAGGTGAGCCACAACACCGTGTCAGTTTGGCCGGCGCGGCATGCACACAGGAGCGGCGTCTCGCCTTGGCCATTGAGTTGATTAACCTCAAGTGTGGGAAACCGATCCAGCAGAGCCTCGATCGCTTCTGTTTGACCACAACTTGCGGCCACGTGAAGGATACGGTCACCTCTTTTGTTAGTGGTGTAATCCGCGATGCGATCCAATCGAGAGAAGTTCTCGAGCAAGACAGGAATGTTTCCAAAAGTCTTGACCCACATTCCGTGGGTGAATCCGTAAAGCATTTCTGTTTGGAAAAAGTGATTTGCGCCTGTGCCCGCGAGGGAGTCGCGGATCGTTTTCCTAGTTTCTTCGTAGTCATCCTTGGATACCATGGCGAGATCTTCGAGAGCAGTTCTTGAACCACGCAGGGCCATTCTCTTTAACGATCCGATGACTCCATCTAGCTTACCAAATGTGACCCCAATGGCACGCCCGATTCGGTACCCGTACGCCGTCGCCAGTGGATGTTTCACTCCCCAAGCTAAGAAGAGCCAATTGGTTGCGCTCGAGGTATCCTTGTTTACACCGTATCCATTGATGTAGAGAGCCGTGAGAAGGAAAGCCTCAGGCGGGTTTGGCATACCAATCTTGGCCTCCTCTTCGTTTCTCTGAATGTATGTTGTTGTTAGATATTTCTGAACCGAGGGGTCCATCTTCGTCCAGTGACGCCATGTGAAGGTATGTTGCTATTCGGCATTAGCTTTCAGCGTATTTGACAGTCAAGCCTATTATGACCTACGTTCAGGTTTGATTTCAACACTTGATCAGACTCGGCACTAGCTTGGTTAGTTTCCTATACTGTGGCTCCCAGTAGTGATTTAAGTACCTATCTTCAGCAAACACACCATTATGGCCAAGAGAGACCATTATCTGACCAAGGTCCCTTTTGGATGGCTCAGTCGATAACCCAATTGTCACAGCTCTTTGCATTGCGCTGTAAAAACCAAAACGTTGAACCCCCGCAACGAACTGTTGTTTCATCGGCTCCAACTGAGGGAATTGCGCAAGGGGAATGGTGCACAGGAGCTTTTCCATCTCCTCAAAGTCAAATGTAGTCTCATTGACCTGTCCGTTGGCCTGTGCGATGAGCTGTTGCATTCGCTGATAAAGAGAACGGACGTGATCGAGGAAATGAACGGGGTCGTCATAAGGAGAGGCCGTAATGGCTTTCAGGTACCAAGCAGAAAGATCCAGCTGGGCCACTAGTTCTCCAGTTTCTTTCATTCTCTCTGCTTCCGCATAGAAATCTTCGCCTTGCTTGGAGGGATCCATGAGGAGCCGGAAGATGCTGCAGCCATGCGCAAACGTACACCAGATGAGGAGGGCCAATGAGTATATGTCCGTGTGTTTCGCGCCTGATACGTTTACTGCTGTCTTAGCCTCCGGGGCCTTCCATGGCCGGGTTCCTCCTAATGAGAGACTGCTCTTTGCAGTATTCATAACCATTGAGTAGCCGAAGTCACTCAGTTTGGCTCTGTACTTGTTCTCCCCATCTGGAAAGATCAAGACATTCTCTGCCTTGATGTCACCGTGGACAATGCCGCATGAATGGAGCATATGAAGGCCCTTGCAGACGTCAAGGCAGAGCTTCCGCCGGGTCTCTATGCCGAGAAACTCTCGCTGTTGCAGTTGCGAGAGGCTTCCATGTTCCGCAAACTCGACAATGAGAACGGGCAACTTTTGCAGAGAATTGAACGGATTCGTAGCCCACGCCAATCCAAGAAAGTCGACGAGATTCGAGTGTTGCAGGATCGGCCGGTGCGTTGAGAGGTAGAGCTCCATGATTGCCGCGTCTATAGCGTGCCGGGACGTGTGAGTAGCTTCGCCTTTGTCCGAAAACTCGATGACGGCCACCTTGTAGGCGACTACGTCCGGCAGCTTGCGCCGGTCTTCCGTCTCAACCGAGAAGCCATCAACTTCTACACGCGACTTCAAGAGTTTCTGGGCCGGGATGCGACGTCGGTACACGGCGAAGCTGGCGCCTCGGCCGGCGAATGAAGCGCTGTCGACGGCTTGCGCATTCGAAAACACCGGCGGTACTGATAGTTTCAAGGCATCTTCGGCCAAGATCGCTCGGTAGGCAAAGTCCAAGGCATTCGGGATGAAGCGCGCGTCGTCTAGAGCTGAAGGGTCATGTGGTTCGAGGGTCGTAGGATTGGAGGTATCTCCCCTAAAAGATGTCAGACTTCTTCCAGACGAGGAGTCCATGCCGCTTTGAGGGATCGATAATTGGGTGATAGAGGTCCAAGCTGCCCAACTCAAGGCATAAAGGAGGAGTGTTGATGGCTGTTATCACCAAGCGGGGAACGTCGAGAGAGTGGATCCGTTATCTTGCCTGCTTTTAAGGATCCTAAGTTACTGCTAAGCACATAGCTATTATTTATGTAACTACTGATTTGCGGCTGAGCTGCCAGCCTGCCTCAGCCTGTTTCGCGATTGACGATATTGTTAGGACAACTTGAGGCCTTCTTGCCAAAAAGAGTAAGTGGAGTAGACGAAGAAGCGGGGTGGGCCAAAAATAAGTTACTGCGTGGTCAAAGGAGTCGAATGCATTTTAGCGAAGAAGTTTATTATGCTTAATTAATCGGCGGCTGGTAAACGCGTAACTAAACGGTCGGACAGACGAGTCTAAGAAGAGCGGCCAGAGATCTAAATATCGGATAATTGCACTTTCATGTCTCTCACCTGATCAGGCATCGACTGAACCCCTGTCCGCGATCAACAATAACCCCGCATACCTATGGACCGGCAGCCCAAGGTCGAGACCCAGACTTTCCAGCAAATACATATCAAGAACCTCAACGTTTGTATTGCATACCGACAATGGATCCCGGAACAGCCTTAGCCGTGGTGTCGCTTTCTTTCGACCTATTTGCCAGTTGCGTTAGGGGTTTCACCTTGATATCTGACGCTCGAAATATCGGAAAGGATGCAGCTATCGAACGAACGAAGCTCATTCTTCAAGAATATCGACTCATTGAGTGGGCTAGGGCAATTGGCCTTGACTCTCCCAATAACGATGAGTCACTGGGGATTCACAATCATCCTGCCGCTCTCATCCTGTTCCAGCTAGAACAGCTTCTCTCCTCGACAGATGCTTTGAAGAAGCGCTACAAGCTGGAACTCGTGTCTCCACCGGATGATTCTGATGGCTTGGTCCCTTCCGAAACAACAGCCGCCCCGGATAATCCGGCTTCGTCGATACTCTCAAATATTGTGTCATCCGAGACTCGAGAGGGCATCCTCAGGCGCGCATCCACACTCAGCACGGTGAATCGGCTCCCACGACGTCTCTGGTGGGCCGCTGTCGACAAGAAAAAGTACGCGGAGCTGGTAAAAGATGTGACCGGTCTTATTGATGGGCTTTGGTCTCTCTTGGATATTACTCACCGAGTCCAAACGTCTCAGGCTGTCAACCACACTCTGCAACTTGCGATTCAGACAAGTCAAGATATCAAGGGTCTTCAGGATCTCCAGAAATCTCTCCAGGACTCAACCACAGATGCTGATATGACAAACAATCTCGCCGCCTCGGCAGCCCTGAAGGCACAGCATATTTTGCTCACCTCGAATAATGGACATGCCCAACAACCAGCGCACTCCAATAATGGGACCAACGATGTAGTACCAACACGACTTCCATCAGTCCTACACCCTTCCCACTTAGCTAGCATCCATATGATATCATCAACCATTGGATCAGCCCAGTACCAGGGAGACACTGTACTCATAGAAGAGAAGCGCGTGGAGCCGCGTATGAAAGCGAAGCTTAAACCGCGTGTTGAAGCCCTCGTGCGTCTACTCTCTCAGCCTCCCACGCCATCCTTTCAGACATTCCCTTGCCTAGGATACACTGAAGAGCAAGGAGGCTTCCGTTTGGTATTTCGATTCCCTTCCAGCACCGAGCAGCCTCTTTCTCTGCTCAATGTATTATCGAGATCCAGCGGGCCACTGCCAGATGTTGGCACACGACTTAGTTTAGCTGTACAGGTGTGCCAGACACTCCTCAGCTTCCACACTGCCGGCTGGTTCCATAAAGACATGCGATCTGAGAACATTCTTCTTGTCTCTTCGCCCTCTCGCCGGTCGACTGACCGCCTTGGTCGACCCTATCTCTGCGGCTTCTCCTTCGCGCGACAAGGTTCGCCGACTGAAATCAGCGAACAGCCATCCGAAGACCTCTCACGGGACATTTATCGGCATGCCAAGGCTCTCGGAGAGCCTTCCGAGAGCTTCGAGCGCTACATGGATGCATATTCTCTCGGATGTGTTCTGATCGAAATCGCAGAATGGACCCCTCTTCGAAAAATTATCAAGAAGCGTGTTGATATCAGCAATAGCAACGTCGTGAAATTGACTGATGTTGCATCACTCTCCCAGTGGATGCATAATCGATATGTTACTGAAGGATTCGCAGCATTTCGACTCGGGGCTGCGTTCATGAAGATGCTTGCTCTGTGCATTCCGGCAGGAGATGAAAAGCCGGATTTGGGTGACTTTTACTCTGCTCTTGAAGAGATGGCCGCTTGTGGGATTTGATTGGACTTCTGGGCACTAGTTATCGCTTGCCGTTCAACGATTTATGATTATGATAAGATGATTTCTACTTTGCTTCCTCCAGTAAGGAGACAACGATGGCTCTCCCTTTTCATGTTTCACTCTCCTAAATAGTGACCACACTTGTCCAAGTAGTCGACCACAAATAGCCGACCCATTAAAACCACATATCCTGTGATCATCATTTCTCTATGGCCGACTTTATGCCCACCCCCGACTCTTCCGATCCCCTTTTTTATCTCTGATATGGTATCTCTTCTCTAAACCTGGGTAATAGCCTATGCCCTTACCAGCTTACCCATGGCTGTACTCCATATAACCGAACCTCTTTCGTCCCCGTAATGACTTCTTACATGCCTTGCTGTGGCAGATAGCTCATATCTTGCTTACCTGCATGAGTGCACTCAGGCAATCCAGAACCAAATGCGTTCTAGCCAATTCCTGGGCTTTACCACTGGCCAAGTTGGCTCCAATGCATCAATCTCCGCTTTTCCGGACCAGATATCCATCTCCGAGTACTTGACAAACTTGGTCTTCTTGACATACTTGAAACCAAAAATCAAGACGAAGAAGATGGGAATGTTGATGTAAGGCGGGATGAAGGTCTTGGCACTGAAGCGACCAGGGAAGAAGGCGTCAAATCCGTTAAAGATAGCAACAATTGTGCAGAACGAAACGGAGAAGTACGCCAAGAATGGCTGCATTGGTGACTTGTACGGAAGAGTGTTGCGGTCAATTCCGTTATGCTTGAGGCAGTAATAGAAGCGAAGATAGGTGTAGCAGACGCTGGCCCAAATGATGAGAGCCCCAACACCACTCAGATTACTGAGCCAGAAGAAGACTTCGGCGCCACTATTGCTGACATTGAGGTACACCAAGAGTCCAAAAGCCGAGGTGACTGCCACACAGAGGTATGGAACGCCAAACTTCTCGTACGCCAGGATGGCTGGTGCCTTTCCATCAAGGGCCGCGGCATAGAGAACGCGAGTGCCGGCGTAAAACAGCGAGTTACCAGATGACCAAGCCGAGGTCAGGATAACAGCATTGATGATTGAGGGCAGTGTCTTGATACCGCCGTTGCGAATAGCGATAACAAAGGGACTTTGAGCTGCGCCAGGGGCAGAGGAGTTGATGGCGTTCAGAAGGGAAGGGTCCTTGGAAGAGACGCAAAGACCGACAAGGAAGACGGAAAGGATGTAGAAGAGAACGATTCTCCAAAAGACTCGACGAATAGCCTTTGGGATATTGCGTCGAGGGTTCTCTGTCTCTCCTGCGGCCATGACAACCATCTCACTGCCGCCATAGGAGAAGGTTGCCTGCACAAAGACTTTCCAGAACGCCAGAAACCTTCCCAATGCGCCCGGCCTCAAGTACTCATTCATAGGTCCTGGGTGTATCCAGTACCTGAAACCAATCGCCTCGCCATTGGGAGCACCGCCCACGGTGATGATGAACATCAAGATGATCAAGCCCACGATAGTGGTCAACTTGATGGCGCCAAAGACGAACTCAGCTTCACCGTAGATGCGAACGGGCAAACAATTGAGGAAGACCATGGGGAAATAGAAAAGGCTGATGAGTGCGACTTTGGGGACATTGTTGTGCCAGTAATCAACAATGACGGCTGAGACCGTTACCTCGATAGGAACTCCAATGGCAAACTGATACCAATAGTTCCAAGCGAGGGCAAACCCCAGCGCCGGGTCCACGAACCGGGCGGCAAAAATGGGAACAGGGCCTGGGATAGGCAACCACGAAGCCATCTCGCCGACGCTGTTGAGGACACAGAAGATGTTGAACCCGGTGATGGTGAAGGATAGGAAAGCTGAGAGCGGGCCTGCAAGCGAAAGCACCTGTCCGCTACCGACGAAAAGGCCCGTGCCGATGGCACCGGACAAGGCAAGGAACTGAACATGTCGGGACTTGAGCCTACGGTTCAGAGTGCCGAGATTGCGTGTTCCGTATTCTAACCCCTTGTTGTCGGTAGTTGGGTCGTTGGTTGGTAATGCTGTTGGTTCGATGCTGGGTGACTCCCTCCCCGCTTCGACATCATTGTGCTTCTTGTCCATTCCTTCCATGGTAGGGTTGTAGTCAACGGGTCAGTCGACACCATTGGAAAGGGAAGGATTTTGATTCGACAAGGACTTGGGATTCGTGATGCTCACTGGCTGGTATCCTGATGAGAGCTTGAGGAAACAAGATGAGATAAACATGAGAAGAATTTCTCTCTATATGAGACATTAACATACATGAACGGCTTTACCTCCAACCCACCGTGGCAAACCCCTTCCACTGCACCGTACATAGCCAGCTCGTCGTTCCGGAGCCGATCTAGCCAAATCCCCCACGCTGTGAAAAGCTGCAAGTGCGACCTTTGGCAGGGATTTAATCCAATCAAGAATAACATGAATGAACTTGATTATAGCGGCCCTAGTATGCCTCTTGAGGGTAGGCTCATCGCCGTAAGATCATAACAGATCACACCACAAAAGAGGCGCGAAACGCGGCGCCATGATACATACCTAACAATGGAGCCGGTTGCCGGCTGGAGGAAGATCACAGCACTTGTGATGCAGCTACAAGGTACCGGATGAATCTAACGGGCAGATCAAGTAATAGCCCCAATCACTGACGAGCCGATCCGCAATACCCGGCTTGGCACGGGATCCGAAGTCGGTGCTGGACTGATTGATAAGGTGATTAGACAAGGATCGTGTCGCTAGCTCGAACTACACCGTGCCAATCTCGTCCATCTGCAGGGCTCGAGCCGTGATCAATTCACCATCATACGAGCTTTGGTAGTGTATGCTTAAAAACCCCCGCCGGGTCATACTCCCGTTTCAGCTGCCGCAGCTCTGCCAGATACCCTCCAAAGGTTGTCTCCAGGTCGACGAACTCGGGGGCGGTCAAGGGTAGATACGTGCGACCTTCTGCATCTGGAAGTGCTGAGATTCTATTACGTGCATCCAACGCCCAAGCTGCCGCGCCCCGTGCCGAGGCCTCGTCATCTCCGAGGCCCAGGAACTCGAACATCACGTGGGGTTTTCGGTACGGGAGAACTGAGTCCGGCGTGTCGGGCTTGCAGGATGGGCTGTCGGCACGGAGTGTGTGGATGTTGACACCACCGGAGCTGTCGCGGGGGATGGCGTGGGCAATTCGGGCCAGCTCATCCACCACCTCGGGTGAGAAGTGGGAGATGTCTGCTGACTGGCAACGGCCTAGAACCTGAGCGGGGATCATGTCTTTCACCATGGTTGCGAAGCCCAGCGCATTCGTGTTTATGACGGTTGAGTGCACATCCGAGATATTAGGTGAGAGAGGTGCAAGTTTGCCCACTCGCTCCAGCCACAGACGAGACTCGTCGCTCGCAGACCCGTTCCAGATGAAACCGCAAGTAAGAGAGAGTCCGACATTCGGGTAGATCCAGATCGACGGCATCAGATAGAGCTTGCTGGGAATCTCCTTGTACGTGTTTACGAGGTTGTTGTAGTTGGTGAAAAAGGCGGTTACAGCACCGGCAATGTCAGATGACTCGAAGAAGAGCATCCCCGCTTGGACCTGTTAAGAGTCAGTATATGCACCGAAAAATGCAAGTGACACTGCATACCTCGCAGAGCGGCCACGTCTTGACCTCCAACTCGACAACGATGGCGAGACTCCCGCCGCCCCCACGCAGACCCTTGAGTAGTCGAGCATCGGCTTCCACCAGGTCCCCATTGGCCAGAACAACTCGGGCACCGATAATCTGGTCGGCTCCAAGTCCGTACGAGTGGACATAAGGACCAAATCCACCCCCAAGACACCATCCCACAAAACCGACTGTGCCACAGGATCCCGCGGGAGCTGTCAGTCCATGCTCGCTCAAGACTTCGAGTACCCGATAATTTATCGCCCCTCCTCCCACTCTTGCTGTCTTTTTATCTGGCGATATAGTGATCGTGTCGAGATCGCGTAGGTCGATGCTTACGGCGTCGAGGGCCGAGAAGCGCCCGAACATATCATGCCCGCCACCACGAACCACTGGGTCCAGCTTAAGACTCAAACATGATTTGATAATAGTAGCCACTTGCTCGGCGGACTGGGGTCTAGTGATGACCTTGGGACGAGCCTCATCATGTCGGCCGGTGTAGCTCGTTTGCAGGGATACAAACTCACTTGAGCCAGGAACGGCAAAGGGAATGTCGGCCTCAGAGAGATGGCTTTGCAGTAGCTCCGTTGTTGACTTGCTCATTTTGTGTATGAAGAATGAGAGTAAAAGATGCAAAGAGAACTTTATGGACCAAAGGTCGAGAGTATTTAAATTCCCCTTTATCAGAATTGCTAGGGTTGGTGTCAGACGTTTGCATTCCAACCGAGCTACCTAGCGCTTATGTTTTACTGTACTGTCAGCAGTTGGCTCCTCAAAACTCTACTGACCGCCTACCCCATTGCTCAAGTTTTACTTCGCCTCTTTGAGGAGACGTCATCGACTGCTAATCCGTCTCACCCTGTGTGCCACGATGCTGACTAGTTTGAATCTGTCCGACAGCCGAGCGTATTCTATACATCTCTCATGGTGAGTTGTGTTAGTTTAGTTGCACTGCGCGTACAGGACACTGTTTGGGCACGTACGATTGGATCTGTCGTGATGAATCGTTTAGACATCTTCACCTCTTCCTAGCGAGGTGTGGATCTGTTGTCTAGCGCTTACTATGATAGAAAACAGCGAAGACTCTGAATTATGGTCACTGGAATTCTCGTTTTCCCCATAGCGGTTAGTTCACGTTCGGACTAGACTAATGTCCGAAGCGATAGGGTGTGGCGCCAGCCTCGGTCTTTACTAGGTACCGAGTATTGATTCTAATAAACACACATCAGGAAGTCCGTCGAGCAAACTCGGTGCCGAGAAGAAGGGGTTCGCAACCCAAGGACAGCTAAAAGAGCTCCTATAAAAGCTAGGCATCGGCGCAGAGCGAACAATTTCATCTCAATTCTCCTCCCTCACTTATTTCGCCAACAATCATATTACACCAAACAAATCACGTCGACAACCCTAGCTCAGGGTGAAATTTCCGCCAATCCCAGGATCTACGGCAATCTTGGAGTTTGGAAAGCATGCCCCCATCTAAACCGCCGGCCATCGCAATCATTGGGGGCGGGCCCTGTGGAATCACTTTTGCTCGTCTGTTGCAAACTGCTGGGATCAAATATCGCGTGTTTGAGCGCGATCCATCCCCAGAGTCAACGTCTCTCAATCAAGGTGGCACACTCGACATCCATAACGAAACAGGCCAAGAAGCACTGCGGCGTGCCGGGCTCCATGACGAGTTCAAGAAGCTTTCTCGTCAAGATGCCACGGCGATGACAATAATGGATTCCACAGGAGGAATCAAAGCCTCTTTCAGTGACGACACTGATCGCCCTGAGATCGACCGCTTGCAACTGCGACAATTGCTACTCAACTCCTTACCTGCAGATAGGATTCGATGGGGAAAGACGCTCTCAAAGGTCAGGCGCAACGAAGGCGAAAAACGGTCTGGAGCGAGCTCCTGGAGGCTGAGCTTTGCCGATGGCTCAAATGAGTCTGGGTTTCGACTCGTGATCGGTGCGGATGGAGCATGGAGCAAGGTCCGACAACTGGTAAGTCATAGCATGGCTCTGCATCTCTTCTCTTTTCCTATCAAGCAGCTAACTCTTAACTTAAGATCACATCTGCCAAGCCAGTATACTCAGGCAAAATGTTTATCGAGGGCCGTCTGTCCAACGACAACCCAGAATATGGCACAGCGCGCGAAATGGCTGGCAAAGGCACTGCCATGGCTTTGAGTGCCAAAAGCGCGCTATGTGTTCAGCAAATGTCTGATAGATCGTATCGTCTATACATGGGCGTGACAGCTCCCGAAAACTTGACACGGCCTGGAGGCGACGCTGATCCGGCTGATATGGACAAGGCACGAGCGGCCATGCTAGGGCCGGGAGGTTTCTACGCCAACTGGGCCTCGAACACCCGAGCCTTAATCGCTGCTTCTGAAGGCCCTTGGCGCCCTTGGCCTCTGTATCGTCTTCCAATAGGCCTTTTCTCGTCAGAAGCTACCGAAAATGGCCGAACGGGGTGCAACCCCAATGAACCGGGCCAGACGCGCTGGAATCGTACCCCCGGCATTGCACTCTTGGGAGATGCAGCCCATCTTGCAACTCCAAACGGCGAAGGCGTAAATCAAGCCATGTACGACTCGCTGGTTCTCTTCAATAAGATAATGTCTGAGCTAGGAGATGAAGGAGCTCAATCGGATTACGATGAGGAGGTAGACCAAGCAGCGTTAGAACGGGCCGTTGCAGCATATGAAGCTGAGATGCTACCTCGTGCTCGAGAACATATTCAAAGCAGTATCGATTTGGAAAACTCGATGTACGCAGATGATGGAGCTGCACGTATGATTGAGATGTTTGGCAGTTTTCATTAGTCGAGAATGCCTTCATGGGTTCACATAGGGTTAATTTAAGAGCTTGTGTACTCACTAAACCAACATTTAATAACCTGAATAACCTACCTTCAATTCCTCTATATGGATTTCTATCGTGATACCAAGTCCAGGTGAACTTCGATGTTTATGTGCCTTGTTTCTTCGCTGACCTATGATTTGTCAGCAGCCATCGTCCAACTCGCGTTGACGCCATTTGCCAAATTTGGTGACTCTATCTCTTCAACTTCATCTTTCGCACAAGGTCGAATACATCGACTCAACCCTACTGTTCAACCTCCTGCAATGACCAACTTCGATATGGCACCCTATCAACCAGGTCTAACCACTCTTGTGGACTTGGGCACACATAAACTCGAGCTAACGATTTACGGACCACCTCGGAGAGCACACAACCCAATCGTTGTCATCATTCCTGGAATCACAAGCAGCATTAAAGAGTGGTCTGCGGTTACCAAGAGTCTTTCGGAGTCTATGAGCGTCATGAACTACGAGCGCGCAGGATACGGCTTAAGTGAACCAGCGCCCGACAGTGACTCCAGGACCGCCGAGGACATAGCAGCAGAATTGCATGCGCTTCTACGAGCTGCAAAGGTCGCTCCACCATATATCGTGGTGTCTCATTCTTACGGTGGCATAATTCTACGGGAGTTTATGAAGCTGAGGACTTTGGCTCAGTTCAAGGGCTTTGTCTTTGTTGATGCCAACACCGAGGAGACGCCATTGACCTATCCGAATCCGTTTGTTCGCGCAGTACAAGGAGATATCGACACACTACAGCTCTGCTATGGAGAGTGTCAGCGTCTAGGCCACGCAGAGTGGCAAGCATTGTTAGAGGAAGAAGCACGGCCTGGGCATAAAGTCGCAGCTGATCGAGAAGTGTCTCAGTACCACGCGAGTGGCAAAGCCCTAGCTGCCAAGGGGCATTCAGAGATTGAAGAGCCTGAGCTTGGGCGCATTCTTCTTGTTGTTTTGCAAGCGGATTACGCCGTCGATCTCCGAAAGATCTATGCTGAAGGTGCGCGATTGGGAAACGGCACTGATGTTGAAAGGGCTGGAATGAGCCAATTCATATCTCAGGCCAATGCCATCGAAGAATCCATACAAAAGAAGATATTGAAGCTATCCGAAAGGACAAAATTTCAGCACGTTTCTGGCGTCGGGCATAGCATTCATCTTGCCGCCCCTGAGACGGTTGTGGACGCTGTCATATGGATTTTAATGCAGTACAGGTGCTAGAGTCGCACACCTTGAATAAGAATAGGGGAGCGGTCGAGATATATTACAATAGACAACCATTTCATCATCTAGTTCACAGTTCAATCAAAGACTTCAGGTATTTATATGCACCTAGCATAAAGAAAAAGCTCAAATTGATTGACTAGACAAGTCAAGAGAAGCAGATACGAAATTGGGGGTGTCTGAAGAGACTGAGAGGCCTATCCTTTTCGTCGTATGTAGTATGCGGTACATTGTACCGTCATACGAGGTAAATATGTACATGAAAGAGCTAAACTAGCTTTGCTTTTTTGTCTCGAGTGCTCACAGGAACGAAGGGTTGGCATTGGTAAGAAGCTGCTCGAAGTAGGCCTGGAACCAGGTTCCTGCCTCAGGTGCCGGCCTGAAAGAAGAGATGTCAGCATAGTTCTCGGTTGATGAAATGGGATGACGTACTGAAGAGCGGCAGAAGCACCGCAGTGGTAGTCGTAACGGGTAGCACTGGTGTCCGAGGTACCATCAGACTCACCACCAGGCTTGACCCAGACGAAAGCATCGAGAAGGCTGTCACCAGTGTTGGCAGAGGGACGGATACCAAAGCCAGTGCCCTTGGAGTTGCACCAGTCACCCCACTGGATCTGGCCGGTGGGCTGCTTGCCGGAACGGCCCTGGTCGGTAATAAAGTGAGCACCAGGCCAGCCATTCTGCTCCAGGAGAGGACCCATCGCGTGAATGAAGCTCTTCTCGTCGTAGATAGAGGCGCCTTGGGTGTAAGGGGGAGCGCTGCTGAGGCTCCAGGCGTTGTAGTTGGCAACGTTGGTGGCGAGTCCACGGAGCGCGGCTGGCTTGCCGGCATCCTTGTAGATGCTAGCAAAGAGTTTCGCAGCAGGGCCTTGGTTGGCTGGCCAGCCAAGCCAGCCAGCGTGGCCTGCATCAAGGTACATGGCGACGTTGGGCAGGTTCAGTTCCGTGACAGCGTAGTTCGTCAGGCTGATATACGCATCATGGGCCTTGGCACACTTGGCGACATCCATGTTAGTGACGAGGTTAGCCAGGGAGTCAGGCTCTAGAGAAACCGTTAGCCATGATCAGATGGAGCTAGGGGCATAGGACCAACCAATGACAAGGAGGATTCGGATATCAGAGTAGCTCTGGATGATCTTCTTGATAGTTTGGATGTAGTTCTTGTACTTGTTGGCGCCATCATTGTCGAGAGAATACTCTCCGTTAGAAGCGGCGGCAGCGCAGTCGCGATCAGGGAGATCGTAGACGACGAACTGGCCAGCGTAGTTACCGCCAGCCAGATTAGCCTTGCGGATGTCGACGAGAGTGTCCTCCATCAGGGAGATGTGGTCGAAAGAATCCCTGTAGGTGCGCTTAGTCAAATATTCTGTGGTGGTCATTCACCCAAATACTCCATTACTTACATCCACTGATAGGAGGGAACATCGGCGACCTTGGCAGCAGCCGTGGCCATGGCACCGCTCAACTTGGGGATGGCCAAGTTGGTAACCTCTGAGCGATAGTAGCTGTTGGCCCAAAGGTTAACACCAGAGTAGGGGTTTCCACTGTAGGTGGCAGTGCCGCTTCCAGCGGGGGGAGGCTTCGTAGTGGAAGAGGTTCCAGCAGTCGAAGTCGAAGTTGGCTGAGTGGTCGTGGTAGAAGCAGGAAGCGTGCTTGACTTGGAAGTGGCGGGGCCTTCTCCAGGAATGCACTGAGAGTAATAGTCGTTGATCTTGCTGCAGTAGCTACCAGACTGGCAGCAGGTGGCACCATTCCAGCTGAAGCCACCACATTGGGCCCTGGGGGTATTGTGAGCTTAGCTGTGCCACAATATGGAATTATGATGAGTTGTAATCACTTACCATTGGGCAGCGCAAGCCTGGCGCTCCTCAACAAGAGGGGCAGCAAATGCCGTACCGGCTAAGGCAGCCGTAAAAAGAAGTTTGTAGGCAGTCATTTTCACAAAGAGAGTGTAGTTGGCCGAGTGTTCTCTGGTGGATAGGTTAACTGGTGAAGAACAAAAAGGGCTTTCGTTTCGAAGAGAAAAGGACTTTATATAATACCATCTACGTCCAAACAATGCCTCTTCGCATAGAATTCACTTTCGGAAAGACGGGACGCAACGTCCTTCGTTGTGGTCAAGTGACTAAAGTTCTGGAACTTGTAGCCGCCCAAAGCGTGATTATGGACGGAGCCTAGGGACCGTTCTCTTGATCGGGCTAGGCGCCCGTGGTGTCCCAGGATGAACCCACACATCTCATGGAAAGAGGCCCGACGGACGGGTGGCTTGCACCGCTAAGATCTGAGAGCATGCTAGTCGAACATCAGATAAGAATCCGTGATTCGTCTGCACGTGGGCGAGGCAGCCTCATCACTTAATGACTCGCATGAACACGCCGCGTACCGACATGTTTATTCAATGATCGACTTGCAAATCGATGACCTTTTCAGTGTTCAGGTGGCCGAAACGCCCAGGATCCCTGTCGATGTGACAACACTGACAGGGGGGGCGACCCTGCTCATCTCGGAAGCCATGCTCCTTGAGATACCTAAATAGGAAGCACGGAGGTTGATCAAGAAACATTCGCATGATGGTATCATTCCTTGGCACTCTAACAAGAGACTTCCGGATCCCTTGGCCTACGGGCCGACGCCACGGAGAATAGGCAACGTGATATAGGGCCGGATTGGTCGGTGCACCATCGGAACTCTCCTTGAAGAGTTTCCTTCAGATGCTTGATGACACATTGATGGCTTGGCAAATAGTCACACAGCCCTAGGCGAGGTCCATTGAGTATTTGGCGATGGGGAGAAAGCTGTTCATGCTGAGCTTATATTAGGAGTAGGTAAGTAGTGCTGGGCATAGTTCAAGTAATCGGGGGTCAGTCTGGTCTGGTACTATGCTTAAGGCATTAATGGTAACTATATTATTTTTGTCAATCAGATAGTTGACATACAAGAACGTATCATAGAGCGTTATATTTGATGGGAACCTGAAGTGGCTCGCGGTTGTGGATCAGGGCTCATGCGGTGAGGCTCACGATGGCCTGAGTCTCCTTGGTATTGGCTGGCTTTGCCAGGCGAACGTTAAGTTTGGCAGTTGGTCATTACACTGAAGAAACCACCACTATAGGCTGACTTTCCAACACTCTTAGCCTCTATGCTTAAGGACCCTCACTACAATACCCATCCTCATCATCATTATTAACCAAAGGCTGGCCAAATCTATCCTTTGTGATCGGCTCCGCTCGGCCCCTGTGATAAACGTTCCAGTGACGGCGTACGCCAGCATCGGATTTAAACCGAACTATCAGGCCAACGCAGGCCCCAAAGCCGCACGCACGATGATGATGCCACATCATATGCTGCCTTGACGTGCCCGGGAAACATCCACACTCTGCACAGTGATTTGGGAAGGCCCTTTTGTGTTCTGCCTGCTCCACTTCGTTTTTAAGTTGCGACTTGCATCCTATATAGTCGCAGAAGCCCGTCATTATGGTAAGAGTGTCTTGCTGGCAGTACTGTAGGAGTTTAGGTTTCAGTAAGAAGTTTGAAAGGTCTTAGTAGATTGAACATACCACACTTTCTCGAGTTGGCTTGGAAAGCACTTGAATTGATGACAAGAGCGAGATTCGGCATTCATTCAAGGGGCAACAATAGCTTAAATACTTGTCAGAAACAATCTGTACCTCATAATCACATATTTCATGATAACGGCTCCAGTCCGTTGGTAGTTCAAGGGCAGGGGGTAGAAAGTACAGGATTGGACCTCAGTGTCTTGATGCCCAAGCGTGTATACATTGCTGCAAGTATGCAATCAAACCGGGCGTCAAGAGGCGAGAATCATCTACTGGGGTTGTTGCAAGCCACAGAGTAAACTGCAGTGCCCGCATACCGTTGTGTGCCGTCGGAATTATTCCGTCCAGTATAGGTATGAACAGAGAATGCACCCCAACACTAAGGGCTGGTTTAAGATGGTGGCCAAACAGTTCAGCCTCATGCACCCCATTGTGCCAGGGCTGTCCCTCATAAGAGTGCAGTAATCACGGGTCACCATCAGGACTTCGTATCGTTGACCCCTCCCCCGCATAACAGCCCGTAGGTATGCTGCATTATCTCCACCGTAGCGATGTGCACTTCAGACAGCAAGATGCATGTACTTTTCAGGAGCTGAACCACCGATAAGTGTTGGACCTGCCACGGCAATCGGGCGTTTCTGGGGCTGCGCTGTTCTGGCCGTGACTTCTTATGCGAATGGCCCTACTTGACCTATACGTTAAGTACACAAGTTGAGTAAAGAAATTTAGTAGCTTTCAGGCATCTTCTGACGAGTCGGGTGGGATATGAACTTCCTTAAGGCCGAGCCTGATCCCAAAAACAACCAATGGAAGAGAAGGGATGGCACAAAGAGGCACACGTCTTCTCATTGATTGCTTATCACTTGCGTCTTCCAAGTGGAGACTTATGCTTTCCAAGTCAATAGCGTCAATCAAGCATTGGCTGAAGTGAATGCCAGGATCTTTCGTGTAGTCAATAGCAAGGCTGCTTTCAACCCCCTAGCGATGCAAGGAACTCTTGTGCATTAAAGCTATGCCGCCCTGCTGTCACATCTATCGAATAATGAATCTCACATTAATCGACTTTCCAACTCGCTGAGTAGTCTCTGCCGGCTTGTCACAATCTTGAGGTTCCGCCCATCCCACAATGGAGGGGACGTACATCCCATCGCTTAGGTGTCGCACTGTTCCATGTCCCCAAGACTAGGACAACTACCGAGAGATTATCGCTAGTCTATGCCTCAAAAAGAACATTTAATTGCCCAGATTCATGGAGCACATGCGGCACACGAATTCAACACCACGTACGTGTTTCCTGGTACCAGAGAGGAAAGCCTTGTGATGCTCGCCAAACCCTTTCTCGCAAACCCGCCGAATAGCATCAAACCAGACGGCTGCCATCGTCTTGTACCCGTAGTCATTAGGATGCGTGCCATGACTGAGGTCATCAAGCTAAGGCCCTTGAGAGCTATTCATATCCGCAAGCACTGACTTCTTTTTCTCACTCGCAAATGGTTGCTTGTGCCTGTAGTCGGCCTTTTCTTCTTTTTGGGCATATTTCTATAGTATTAATCGTGGCAAGATCCATATAGATGCCGAGGCCCATCAGACTGGCCGCGCATCTTAATAGGGTGCCACTGCTGGGACTGGTCAAAGCATGCTCAACGTAGACTATAATCAAGTCGATGACTACCGGTTGTGTATGTAATTCTATCCAGCCTTCAACTTACATCTTGATTCAAGAATTATTATCTCATTTGCGCAGCATTTTGGTTTGATTTAGCTCTTCAATCTGTTGGCACCTCAGGTCTTAGGGGGATTAGCATCGTCGACGTTCCTCACTTGTTTGTTGCCCTACCATATTTCACAAGGGCTCTGATGAAGCGACTATCTCACCTGAAACGCTCCAGCTTAGTACAGCTTTTCTCATCTTCGAAATTAGTCGTCTGTTATGATTATACGCTCAGAGACTGAAGGGCATGGGATGTTCCTTTGAATGCGAAGTGGAACCCTCGGTTTCGGTTTCGCATTGAACTCACAGCGAGCCAGCTCGCATAATGATTTAGGTATAAATCCAGGGCACCTGCTAATAAAATGGTAATCATAGATCTCATACTTTTAATCTGGACGCCCCTTACATCTTCAAGATCTATCGTTGTTCTTTTCACCTAAGCCTGTTTCATCTCTTTCTTTCCCATCTACTTATTTGTGACCCTTTTCTTCTATCTTGTACCATTTAATACGTTCCCTTGCCGCCATGCTCGGCACGAAGAAGGATTCTTCAACTGGTGGCTTTGAGCTGCTCGGTATCTCAGCCGAAAATACCAAGGAGCAGAACGGCGATCTCGAGGGCCAAAAGGCTGCGACCGAAACGAAGACGTCTGGTGACACGAACTCACAGCACCAACACTCCAACAGCAAAGCCTCCGACAGTCCACTCCAAGTGAAGAGCGAAGACGAAGCTACCTTGAACGCCGGCGATGCTGAACCCGACTCGAACATCGTCTGGTGGGATGGGGAGGACGACCCCGAGAACCCATACAACTGGCCGGCGTGGCAGAAATACCTAAACTGTGGCCTCATTAGCGCTCTTACCTTCATCACACCGCTCGCGTCTTCAATCTTTGCGCCCGGAGTCCCAGAACTCATGGTGGACTTTAAAGAGACGAACCAGGAGCTTGGGGCCTTTGTGGTTTCCGTATATGTCCTCGGTTTCGCATTCGGTCCCATGTTGATGGCACCGCTCTCCGAGGTGTATGGGCGGACTATAGTTTACCATGTCTGCACCATTCTTTTTCTCTGCTGCACTGTCGGATGTGCCTTGGCCCCAAGCATGGCCGCTCTCATTGCCTTCCGGTTCCTGGCTGGTTCTTTTGGCGCCTGTCCCATGACGAATGGCGGCGGCAGCATTTCCGACATGATAGTCCAGGAGAAGCGCGCTGTTGCAATGTCAACCTTTAGCATTGGTCCCTTGATCGGACCTATCCTCGGACCTGTTGTAGGTGGCGTGCTGGTAGACAACAAGGGCTGGAGGTGGGTCTTTTGGGTTGTGACCATTGTCGGTGGCTTCCTGGCTGTAATAATGATCTTGACGATGTGCGAGACATATGCGCCTGTTATTCTGAAGCGCAAGACTCAAAGGCTCATTAAGGAAACAGGCAATATTAACCTTCGGTCGAAGCTTGATACGGGTCTCTCAGATGCGGATCTCTTCAAAAGGGCTATTATTAGACCCACGAAACTTCTAATCTTCTCTCCCATCTGCACCATATTCGCCTTCTATTTGATGATTGTCTACGGCTATCTCTATCTCCTCTTCACATCGGTTCCCTTCATCTTCGAGGGCGCTTACGGTTTCAGCGCCAGCACGGTTGGCCTTGTGTATCTTGGTCTCGGCGTTGGCTCTTTTGTTGGCCTGTTTTGGTTCTCGATTGATTCCAATAAGCAGCTGCAGAAGATGAAGGCCTTGCAGCAGGATCACAAGGATGTGAAACCCGAGGTTCGCCTCAAGCTTCTACCCGTGGGCACGTTACTGCTGCCGGTTGGATTCTTCATCTACGGCTGGACGACAGAGTATGAAACTCATTGGATAGCGCCTATTGTGGGCTTGGCAGTGATAGGAACAGGTAAGAATGGAAGATCTCTGCCCGCATGTTTCCGCTAACACTCCGTCAAGGCAACTTGATGTGCTTCATGGCTGTCAGCATGTACCTCGTCGACGCCTACAGCCTGTACGCAGCGTCTGCGCTGGCAGCCAACACGGTAATGCGCTCCATTGCGGGCGCCACGCTACCACTATGCGCCCTCGAGATGTATGATGCTCTGGGACTGGGCTGGGGCAACTCACTCCTCGCTTTTATTGCCATCGCTCTCTTCCCCATTCCACTGCTCATTAGGCGATACGGGGAGAAGTTGAGAACCAGCTTCGACAACGACCGGCTGTAAAGCCAGGTCTGGAAGAAGATTTGATAGAGAACGGAATCCCTCTTAGACATTTTTGCATAAACTATCAGCAGCATCAGATGTAGGATACCAACTAGGCAGTAACTTGATTGGAAGTGTGGGTTCTGCATCTCGCTTTCGGTTTCGCGATCAATCATCAGACCACATTTTAGGTAGGCAGACAATTTGACCATACCTTGCCCCGATCTGTCTAAGCGCGCTGCATTGATCTCCCACTAACCAGGTTGTGCTCACGAGACCAAAGGCTGGCTCGCATCTCCATCAAAAGCCTCGGGTTCCCACCCGCCGCCCTCGCATTCAAGCTTAGGTCCTTCTCTTGCGAAAGCGAAGAAACTTGATCATACGCCATCAGCATGCAGCTGGGGAAACGCCTCGGTTATAAGAAATCTCGTAATGGGTGCCTTCGGTGTAAGGCCAGGCGAGTCAAGGTGAGACCCCCTCTTTTGCCATGCATTTTCGTGTTGCGTTAACCCGTGGAAAACAGTGCGATGAGCTTCGACCATGTACAAACTGCGTTCGACACCACGTCCAGTGTAGCCTTGTAACTTCGAGCACCGCGGTTACCAGCGCCTGCTCTCCCCCTTCAGCCCCTTCAGTCCCACCAGTACCCCCTACAGCTCCCAGTTCGGCTCCGGCTCCGAGTTCCAGTCCGCTGGTCGCTGGGCTCGGTCTTCGGGAACAGCCCGGACCCGAATCCGAACCCGAGCCTCACACATTTACCCACCAGGTAGCTCATGAGCCATGGGCGTGTCAATCACCAATCGCAACCCAGCCAGATCATGGTAAACATCTTTTTGCTCAACCTTTAGTTATGCATTTCTGATTTTCTCAGCCTATGTTCATTCGACTACATCGCCCTTCCACCCGACTCCAGGAACGCCATCGCATCATGAGCAAGGCTACCCATGCGCGTGCCAATGTTCCGTGCGAGAGTGGATGCAGAGCCTTCAGCTCTTCCATCACTACAGCACCTCAGTCTGGAGCTCATTCGTCAGGGAGTCTCGAACAGAGGTGCTCTGGAAGGAGCTCATTCCAAAGGCTGCACTGTCTAATGTAAGTTGCATTCACTATCTGGCTCATCCAACCACTTTGCAGTCTGACTGGGGCCAGGACTTTCTGATGCATGCCTTGCTTGCTGTATCTGCGCTGCACTTTGCACATTTTAACCCAGAGCAAAGGGTCGAGTATCAGGTCGTTTCATCGCACTACTCAGCTCTAGCACTGTCCAGCGTCCGAAACCTTCTGAATGATATCAACGAAAGCAACTGTGAAGTTTTTTTCCTGTTTGGGTCGTTGACCTTTCTCCAGTCACTTTGTAACGTTGCACATCCGAGCGGGCCTCTCACATCTGCCGAGGTGGCACAGTCGTTTCAACTCCTCCAGGGCATGAAATGCATCCTCGATTTCAAGTCTCTTGAGAGATGGTCGTCGGATAGTCCGCTGGGTCAACTGTTTTCTCACAAAGCAAGATGTTTGACTCCCTCCACCCCTGCATCTGCATCACCCCCAAGCCCATCATCCGAAGCTCCTACTACCTTTCAGAGACGTTTGGATAAGCTGTTTCGCCTTGCTCGGCAACTCCCTCGAACCCTGGATGTCATAAATCCTCAATCAGCTAGCCTTTTGGCTCTTGAAGGTCTTAGAAGTATTTATCAGGATTGCCTTGCCCTTTCTTCCACCAGTGACCTGCCTCATACATGGGGCTGGCCACTCTGCCTCCCACCTTTCTTCGTGGATATGATCAGGTCTGGGGATCCTATGGCGCTTATTGTATTGGCTCATTTTGCCGCAATGAGCTGGCCCTACGAGCACAAAGGATGGCCGAGTCGAGGTTGGAGCGCGAGCGTAATGGGCATGATTGATAGGGTGATAGAAGAAGAATGGCGGGAATGGATTGAATGGCCGGTAAAAAGTCTAGAGGACAAAATACCCGTTGACTCAATGGTAGATGGTTGAAAAGATATTACGGCCATCAATAAGCTATCTGCTGCGCTTTGGCATATCCTCATCTGTCTGCTCGATGGAACTGTTGCGACCTTTGGCGGCTAGATAATCTACAGGTAGGAAGCTACTGCCTCGCCCAAAACATCCAAACGAGGGGTGATGCCCAAGCCAGGTGCGTTTGGTGCCCTAACATATCCTCCATGAACCTCGTACTCGCCATCCGCGGTCTTGGGAATATGCATTGCGCGGCACTCTAGAATTGGTCGTAGGTTGCGCTCTGGGATAGTTTGGGCCAGGTGAACAATAGCAGCGAAGGCAATATCCGAACCGCACGTCTCCTGAGTTACAATAGTGTATCCGGCAGCCACAGCGATATCGCGGATACGGCGGGCCCGGGTAAGACCGCCAACTTTACAAATCTTCAAGTTCAGACCTTCCGTAGCGTCGTCGGCGACAAGCTGTATGGCCGATTGCTCATCTGTGAGAAGCTCATCTGTGAGGATTGGCACATTGGTTCGACGTCGAAGAGATACAATGTCTCGATGTGTCGGACAGGGGGCTTCTAGGATAAAATCCAACCCATCGGGGAGCAATCGTAGCATTCGCAGGGTGGACTCCACGGTCATCGAACTATTCGCGTCGATAGAATAGAACTCGTTCTCCTTCTTTTCGGCAAGTGCCGCAACAACGCGTGCAGCATCGGATACAGGGTTCTCTCCTATCTTGACTGAAAATCCAGTATAACCCGCCGCCCGAGCTTCAGCAACAAGTCTGCGGGTATTTTCTGCGTCGGCAACAGGGAGAGAAGTAACCAGTGGGAGTTTCAGGCCTGTACTTCCGCCGAGCAGCTGGTAGACCGGGAGGCCGACTGACTTGCCAAAGATATCCCAGCATGCAACGTCAATGGCGGTCTTGGCGTGCAAATGGCCGATCAATGCGGCATCCATAGCGTCATTGATACGGTCAACGTCGCGGGGATCAAGTCCAATTAGATGAGGAGCGATTTCTGCGATCCCCGCTCTAACACCAAGAGCATGGGAAGCAATGAATGTAGCACCGAAAGGTGTACTTTCGCCGAAGCCTTCAATGCCGCTCTGAGTGGTGATCCGAACAATAGTGCCGTCGAAATCTTTATAGGTTCGTCCACCGGATAGATGATAGACGCCGCCCGAGTAGGGGAGATCGACTTGAAACACATCTATTCGTGCGATCTTGAGTTCCGACATGCTGATAAATAATGTGGGAGAATGAAGTAGAGGTTAATGTATTTTGAGATGGTGTTTTGTGGTTGAATAATGTGTCAAAGCTCGGGAGAATTCCTGGGGGCAGATAGGTACCTTCTTATACTTTGTTTGCACTCCGAGGGCGGTGCTTGCGGTCGTATGCATGGTATTAGTGCTAGCCGTATAAGCCAGCCTAGCCAAGATACGTAACTGGTCATGGCCTGTTGCTCCTTGGAGTTTACGGAGTTGAGAATTCCATATTTTCGGTCTCATCGAGTAGGCTTTCCCTATCGTAGGTGCAGGACGTGTTTGACAGCTTTTAGTAAATTCGGCTGCTTTTGCCGATGGTGGTTGCTCACGTCTCTCTTCGTGCAACGCGGTTCCGAGAATACCCCCTCTTTTCAGACTCAGCTTATCAATCACACCCAGCCGACGCAACGAGAACCCGACATCTCGGTTCGTCTCGGATGATGGATACCTTAACGAATCGTCTGCTTCACTGTGGCTGCTGTCTCAAATTTGATAGGTACTCCTACTTGGGAAGTAATAGAGAGCTCAGAGCGTTCCTGTTGGGCACCAATGCGACCCATAATGCCCTGGTACCTGTTGAAGGGTATCAGCTCTCTTTTGCTTTGGCCCAATCGGAACCGTTTACAGGCTGCTTGTGGACCGGCCCGGTTCCCCGTCACTTGGAAGGCCTTCGACCAGTCAATGAAGTAAGTCTTCAAGGGATCAACGTTTTCCCCTCCAGGGATGCATTGGCCTATCAGTGTAGATTAGTCATCAGGTCCAACATCCAAATCACGATCCTAAATAGGCATATTTCCTACAACGAGCTCGTCCAACCTTCTAACATCACTCGAGGATGAGGTAGCTTGGGAGTCATTGAGTATTTTATCCGGGGATGAAACTTTTTCAAGTCGGAAAACTATTACGTGTTGTGCTGCCTGAAGCCAAGTGGATTGAATAGTGGACAACTCAAAAATGTGTGCTCTCGTGCAACAAAGCTAGGTAAGGGTTGCACAAGACAATTTACAAATCTTGAGACCTCAATATCAAGTTCTGTTTACTAGATTATAAGGAAGAAGTACGGAGCTCTACGGATTAATGAAATGTGAAAATTAGAGACTGATCGATCCTAACGTCGTGAGGTCAAACCAGGCTTCTTACCTACCCTACGGGCCTGGGGTAATCTCCACTGACGTCAAGCAACCCCACCTTGTTGCCAAATTTAGCCTTCAGGCCCTGCCAAGACCCACAGGACTTGGTCAAAGCTCAGACAGATCATGGCCTAATTTGGAAGGCGTGGCTCCACCAGAATCACAATAAATACACGCGTTATCTGGCTTCGAGACAGCTTCACTTGTGATAAGGAAATACTATTTTGACGCCAAGTCAAGTCTATCGCCCATGAGAGACTGTAGCCCGGATATTTCTATCCTTACTGATCCGCAGCCAGGATCCCGATCCTCCCAGCTTGTCGATGATAGCGTGGTTGCGGATCCAGGACTCCCGCATTTCGATGAAGCCATATCGACAAAGCGGTACTGCCAAATCGCCTTGTGGGCATCGTATTTCATTTCGATTTCTGCTATCGCATGCTCCATCTGGCTTCTGGCTGTTGAGGGCGGCCTCATAATAGCTTTCCTCCCAGACCGTCTTGCTCAAGGCGTGGCCGGCGTCGGCCTTTTCGGAGAATTTCTCCCCCTCGTTTTCAACCTCCTCATAGCAGGTTGCACCGAAGCCGTCAGCTATATCCACGCCGTTTCATTGCGATGGGCTCTTTATCGGGAGGGTCGCCTCGAGTTCAACTCAAATCTCCGGCTTTTTACGAGTGCCGAATCCAGCCGGGCAAACACCCGATCCGTCAACTTCTTCTCGGCAGCATGCCTGGTCATTTGCTACACCGCTGCGTCGCAGATTTTAATCGGAAGAAGATCCAGCATTCTCGTCAATGGGATTGCACTCTTGATGCTCGGTATTGGCCTATTAAGTCTCTCCATCGTGTCAACGATGTGTCTCTGGGACACCTCCAACACCATCCTCACCTGGAGTCCCAGTCCTCTTAATACGGCCCTCGCCTGCCTCAATCATGACATTATTGGCCACCATCCTGGACGCGGAATGCTTGCTGTCGACGACCGTTATCTGCTCAGCCAACCTGCCAGCCCCCGACGACGGCAGTGCGCAATGAGTGCCGTGTATCCCGCTACTCGCTACATCATCTATTTTCAGTATGGGGTTGTTGTACTCTGTGCCATTTTGGCAATCATCATCCTCGTGCTTGTTCGCAAACTCAATCCGAACGGCGTGCCAACATATGCCTTCTTTGCCGACGCGACCGGCACCACTGACTTGTATTTTGAAGGCGGGATTCATGGCCCAAATCTTTATCCACTGTGGCTTTTTTGCACCTTTCTATTTGCAATAGTGCCCCAGGCATTCTTTGTCATGACTCTTCATGGTGCCGAGCTGCTTGTAACAGTGGCACGAGATGAGGCTGCATGGCGGGAAGCCGCTGCAAGGCGTGGTCCAGGCCGAGGAGCGGTGGTAGCTGCTGGAGCACTGAATTCCGCTATCAAGAGCTGGCTATGGCTTTCACTGCTGCTTTATAAGCCTATATCGAGCTGGTTATTGACGTCACAGGCAATCAAGTTCCAGATTCAACAGAGCACGAGCAGGGTCGTATTCAATCCAATACCGCTCTTCGCACTGGCGGGGTTGTCACTACTGCTAGTTGCATTTGAGGAGTGGCTTACTCGTTGGCGAACAGCTGGTCCGCAACCAGCTGCATACGGACATTTACAGACCTTGGCTGACTTGGTGGATGATTGGGGGCCTAGCAATATCAGCGTTGACGAACGCAAACTGTGGTGGGGCTCGAAAGGCTTCGACGCGATGGGAGAAGCTTGGGTCGGGACAAGCGTGAAGAAGGAGGACGTCGGGGAAATTGATTTTGATCAAAGATATAAGTGATGTTTTATCAAGGGAGCGTCTAGAGAGTAGAGTGACGAAAGTCGGTTAGACTTTGATAGTAATCAATAGAAATACATGAGGCTTGCTCAGATCATACTTCCATTCACTGCGATATGAGGCTTCGAAAGCAACTCTGCGTAGATGGTGTCCAGCACTCGCCACTCTTGCTACCTAGGGGGAGAGTGCAATGCAGTAACGCTCAAGCTTGCATGTGGCAAATATCAATTCGTCAATTCTGCCTCCAAATTGGAATGCGCCTTGCTGAAAATCGCTCAATTTTCGCCCCAGGGTCGGTGCCATCTACAATCAAGCTAAGCGAACATGGTGGTGTAAACAAGTCGAGCTTGCAGGGCTTCTATTGCAGAATCTTCTCTTAAGCTTAGCCGATCTGTAGGAAACACGGGCCTGTATAAGGGATACACTTGATGTTTTACTACGTAGATGCCCAACACACCCCTGTACCCCTGCATCGACCGTTGAAGTGAGCCTTGCGCACTTTGCCTGAGGCTGATTCTCCCAGAACTCAGCCCATCGACTGATTGTCTGTGGACAAGACATCAGCCCTGCGACGCCCGGCTGCTATGGACGCCACAGACATTGCATGAGATGTCTACTATTGGAGGAACTTCAAGCTGCAACTTGCGTGATTCGTGGCAAAGTTAATGGAGGGTGGTAGCCTGGGGACGAAGGGGGGCACAGCCCCGGATGTAACTGTCGATCCTTACCGATTGATCAGCAGATGTCGATACTGTAAACACCAAGACGACAGCATCCCCTCACGCCCCCCCTCAGTGGGGATCAACATTCAACTTTCGCCAAGTCACTACATCAGCAACAAAGATGAAGCTTTTCCGAAAACTCAGAGGAAAGAAAGAAGGGAAGAAGGAAGAGAAGAAAGAAGAGAAAAAGGAAGAGCATGCTGGACAGCAAGTCCGTAGTCGGATCATCTCGACACTGGAAGAGCAACTTCGGGATGCGCCGCCGCGACAGTCGACCGGCCTAGGAAGGGGCTTGGGGAGCTTAAGAGTTACAAGCTCAGTAGCTCCCAATCTCCAGGAACTCATGAAGATCATGGCGTCTCCAGCATCAAGCATGTCCGCGGAGGAGGCAAGAAATATGGTCGAACTTCAATCACCCGGGCCTTGCCCGATATGCTGCAACTTGGACCCATACCGGGCCACTCCAGACGTGGACACCAGCGAGACACATCGCTCATGGGCCAGAGCTGAGTATAATATCCCCGCCGAGACTCCAGTTGGAAAGATCACGGTAGAAAAGTCAGAAGACCTGATCGAATCGGCCCAGCGCGGATGTTTGTATTGCACCATGATTCGAGCGGCACTCGGAACTGCGAACCCTACATGGGAAACTGAGAAGTCCTACATGTATATTTACTTGGCGAGTGGCTTACCAGTAATCGTGCACCTGGCATTTGGCGGGACGTCCACGATGAGGATGGAGAGGGAAGAGATATTGCGAAGCTTTGGTGTCGACCTACCAGAGGGACAGGCCATGAACTTTATCATCACAGTTGACGACTTTTCCAAGCCACCCATTGACGTCGAGATATATCGGTCTGTTCTCGACCCTAGTGAGACTACTATTGGGGGTATGTCGCTGTCCATTTGATAGGAGTCGAGCAGCAGCTAACCCTGGAACTATAACTAGATATTGTCGTAGCACCGCTTGTGGAGCACATGGGTACCGCGTCTCCGGTATCAGAACATTCAGGGGACCCAAGATGCTTCGAGTTCATCAGCAAGCAGGTCGCTAACTGTATGAAAAACCACAAATGTGGAGGAGATGGCCCTCTTCCTTTGCTTCCCGACCGCATCATCTGGATCGAAGCCAACAATTCCACACGCATACAACTCGTGGAACCTACGAATATCCGCGCCAAGTATATTGCGCTTAGCTATTGCTGGGGCCCTACCGGCCCTGATACCTATCTCACGAATGCATCGACTTTAGAAGCGAAGAAAGCCGGCATACGGTTCCAGGACCTGCCGCCGCTTTTTCAAGATGTT